TGATGACAAGTCAAGGGTCAAAGGCACTTGTGTCCCCTTCACAGGCTGCAAACAGGATTGGTCCAGATTCACTCCATCACATATGGCTTCCACTGTTCCACAGATCTTCCACTCTCATAAGAAGTATTATTTAATTCACGAAAGTAGAATAGGGACTGATAGTGCTCTATGTACAGTAAAAACATTTAATATTTAAAATGACACTCACAAGTCAGTGCACACACAGTGCTATGTACAGCGCATATCAAACACAGGTAGCTCTCCGGGGGTAATCACGTATTTGTTGTGCTGATTGATAATTAGGTTTGGTTTATACCGTAAATAAATTGGCAACTTCAGTCACAGAGGTACCAGTTAAGCGGCACCAACAATTTGCCCTCTTTGAAACTCAGTAAGCTCTGACATGACTCCATAATACTAGCAGCACACGCAGTGAATGATGAAAGTGAGGCTTCCCACCTGTTAGCTAGGTGTCTCATCACACAGCGGAAGCAAAAGAATGTTACATCACTTCCGCTTTCAATGTGAAATATGTTGCCAGTTTCATGCCTGCATATCATGTAGTGTTTCCATATTTTTGTCTAACACCTGTCCAACACCTGTCCTCATGGAAACATTATAAGTTGTAATAAATGATACCTTACATATTTTTAGGTAAAATATTAAATATTTTATATTATGTAAACCAAGAATGTGTAGTGCGCTAACTCCTCATCCAGACATATAAATGAAATAAAATAATCCTCCAGTAGTCCCATGTAAGATAAATCCACACTACAATAAAAGTCCAAATCTCAGAATGTCCAAATTAGTGCGTTTAACAAGCACTTTCCAAAAGGCGTGCTTGAGCTCAAGATACTATCCCTGCTCAACTTTAGGTTTGACGTACAATTTATAATAGGTCAAATGCATTTTTACAGAAGTGAATCCTTTCATGTGGCATGAATCCAGAATTTTTTTTACTCAATCACGACTCCAAAAACATTTATACAAAAGACAAAAATATATATCATAGTGTAACACCGTTTACATTAAAGCTAATGATTGAGTGCACAAAACATATGTGCTCACATTACAGCAAAACACACTGTGCTCCACAACAATGTTGTAAAGTGTTCATTTCATCCAACATATACAAAACTGCTTCCCATCACCGATGAGTGTGCCATGCACATACCTTCTTCCTTGACCCATATATCATATAGGTCATAAGCACTATAAATGTTGTTAAATCTTTTGCTTTGTCCACCGCTATCCCTTAGTAGCTATTTCCTTGCTACTGGCCCTTTAAGAGACCGTATTTCCGCTTCCCACCAGGATGGTAAATGCTCTAGGAAACCAATTGTCGGGAAGGGGGATTGCTGGCAGCTACTTTCCCATTGCTGGGCACACAGTGCAAATCCTGCTGGTATCCATCTAAGTTTGCATGGTAGGCTTCCTTCCTCATAGTCCACCAAGGCAGGATTCCCATCCAGGGGGACATAGGAGTTCCCAGGGTCAATCCCTGAGGAGGGTTATCGCAAGGCTCTGCACATCCCAGTTGTCCTATAGACCAGCACTGTCTTGAGACCCTGCTCTACGCTTTCTGATCTTCAAAGCTCCAGCTTGATCCAACATTGGTGATGGGAAGCAGTTTTGTATATGTTGGATGAAATGAACACTTTACAACACTGTTGTGTGTTTTGCTGTAATGTGAGCCCATATGTTTTGCGCACTCAACCATTAGCTTTAATTCAAACGGTGTTGCACTACGATATTTTAATTATAATTATATTTTATATACACGTTTTTGGAGTCGTGATTGAGTGAATAAATTCTGGATTCCTCTCCACATGAAAGGATTCACTTCTATATAAACGCATTTGACCTATTATAATTTGTAGGTCAAACGTAAAGGTGAGCAGGGAGAGTATCTTGAGCACAAGCACGTCTTTTGGAAAGTGATTGTTAAACACACTAATTTGGACATTCTGTGATTTGGGAGTTGGACTTTTATTGTAGTGTGGATTTATTTTACATAGGATTACTGGATGAAGAGTTATATGTCTGGATGAAGAGTTAGCGCACTACACATTCTTGGTTTATATACAGTTTAAGTGAGTGTACACTTAGTGATTGGGTGCAGCAATCTTCCTTTGTTTATTTTTATTCAGGGTGTAGCAGCGCGCGAGTGTGAGCTTTTTCATTTTATATTATGTATTCTTATTTTCTGCAAGAAATGGAGCTTTAGGCTCTTTTTTACCCCTTTCACACGGGCAGCAGTCTCTACCCCCACTCTGAAAAGTGATCCTGATGGAAAGAGCAGTGTAGTAGAGAATCTGTTTCTTTGTGTTTAGGGGGGCGATTATTTGGCCTTCTGAATGCATGTTTTACTTTCAATCCCAAGGGGAATTTTGTACTGATATATCAGGCCGCAACCATGAGTTAGGTGTTTGGCTCATGGTTGCAGCGCAGTCCCATTGACATTAAAGGGGAAAGTTTTTCTAGGTAAACTTACTGTGAAGTAAAGCATAATGGCTGCAGCATGTATACCACTCCCTCTGGCTGTTATGTTAGGCTTTAGATGGGCCATCAGGAAGGGTGGTAAAAACATAGACTAACTTCCTTTTTTAACACTCTTTTGCCTCCTACGTGAAAGGGGCCTTATGAATGTGTTCTTGTATCTCCTTACCACTTGTTAAAAACGTTTTGTCTACAGACATCAATAGCTCAAGCTAAAAGTTAGAAACACAAATGAATGCATCAAAGCATAATTTAGAATGATTGAATTTTGAAAGGAAATATCAATTTAGAGGGAACAAGAGATTAATATAACATCTTGATACAAATATTGTTTCCAGTGTGTGTTAAAATGAAACAAAAATGTGCTTCACCCATGGGAGGCCCTTCTCCACAAACCACTGAAAATATTTTACTTTCTGCTTTGCAGACAAAAACGATCACATCGCCACTGACAGGAGAAAGCGCTGTGTTGTGTACATGCACAGAGCTCTGTCCTGTTTTCCTCTTTGCCGATCAGCGGGTCCCAGCTGGCAATCATTGGCCGGGACCAGCTGATCAGCTTGTGCTGTGACTAATCACAGCACAGCCGGGGCGGTGGGTGCATGCGTGCCCCCTACCCAGAAGAGTCGGATCACATATCAAATACATGATCCGGCACAGGAGAGCCGCTCTGCTGCTGTACTTCTATATGAGGCAAGCAGTTTTTATTTAAACTTGACCACCGTGTCAAATGATACTCATGACAAATTCTTCTTTACCTTCTTGACCTGGCAGTAATGGCTTAATTATCCACACAACACACTACATGCCTGCATCAACTTTATGCCCCTAAGGTCATTCCCTACTCCTCAAGAGCGTCTACGCCTTCTATCCACAGCCCCCCCCCCCCCATCACTTCTGGCAGCCTCTAAGTAACCCCCTCTTCCATTCCCTTCCCTCCTTCCCTCTACCCTTTTTTGTTGAGATGGAACAAGCTTCTAACTGATTCTTATGTCTGAAGTGGATTCTAAGTATCCTTGCAGCTGTGAAATGAGGTAGCACACCATTAAGCTACGCTAGACTGTGCACATCTCAAGAGGAACCACTTGGAGATGTAGGATCCTGGTGTACCAACTGCTTGCAAACTTGGTCAGGATAGTTTCTCAACTCCAGTCCTCATGGACCCCCAACAGGTCATGTTTTCAGGATTTCCATTATTTTGCACAGGTGATTTGATCAGTTTCACTGCCTTAGTAATTACCACAGCTGTTTCATCTGAGGGAAATCCTGAAAACATGACCTGTTGGGGGTCCATGAGGACTGGAGTTGAGAAACACTGGGCTAGGGGATGGTGGTGGATGGGGAAGTGTGAGCCTGTCATGGAACCACATGCAGGTCATCAGGCCTAATGCAGTGAGCATTCCCAGCCAGAGGAGCAATGGGATAGACTTACTAAAAGTGGTGTACTCAGAATCTGATGCAGCTGTGTATGGTAGCCAATCAGCTTCTAACTTCAGCTTGTTCAATTAAGTTTTGGCAATAAAACATGGAAGCTGATTGGTTTCTATGCAGAGCTGCACCAGATTTTGCACTCATTTTAGTATATAACCTCCATGTGTCAAGGGAGACCAGGAGTATGATGAGTGTGTGCATTGGGCACACCTTGGCACACCATGTGTAAAGGTGAAGAAGAGTACTTAGAAGACTGTGAACTATGAGCATGGCCGCTGTTAGGCCTGAAGGAGCCGTGATACAGGCAGTCTCTGGAGGTGTACATGGGATTGATTAAGTCATGTTTAGAGACCTGTCTACAAGAAGCAGCCTTTCTGCAGAGGTCTGAACTACCGTCGCTGAATCCAACCTAGAGCTGTCCAATAAGCAGGAAGCATGAGTTTTGCTGATTGCAGAGTTATAGGTCTGACTTAACGGGGTATGTCAGACAGGCTATTGTTTCTACTCAAAGTGCTGGGATTCTTCTTTACAGTATTATAGCAGGAACAGGCTTTTCTGTTCATTCTGTGACAGCTTTCCAAAGAAAACAAACTAATACTTTGCACATCTTTAGTTTCTGTAGTGTATTTAGTTGAATTATTATCATTATTATTATTATTCAGGATTTATATAACGCCAACAGTTTGCTCAGCGCTTTACAATATAAAGGGAGACAATACAGGAATGATACAGTTCAATACAAGAGTGTTAGGAGGGCCCTGCTCCTTGGAGCTTACAATCTAAGATTTAAAAATGAAAGTTCAATTTAACTTTAATGCTCATTCACATAATGCTAGAGTTGTGTTATCTCAACCGTTGTCAAGCAGGGAGGCTAATTCAAATACAGAGCTCCAAATAGAGGCTAATCAATTAATTTTTATATTCAGTACTATAACAAAATTATAGAAGAGTGAGCACCTAAAAAGTGAAATTCACATCAAAATGGCTTTAAGGTAAATAAAGTAATAGTTAAGTGCTCAGTAGAAATACAATTTTCCTCTGAATATCATTTTTCCCATCTTTTCTAGTCCTTGATCTCCTCTCACCAGCAGTCCAGCGACAGGTCACAAGCTACCTTCAGCAAGCACTCAACAATCCCTCCATGAATGAAGTGTATGTACTGTCCACGTTTAAACTACAGCCCAAGTCTACAATCACTCTCTTTGGCTTGTACTCTACTAAGGAGAACAGTAGGTACTTTGAATTCACAGTAATGGGACGTTTAAACAAAGGTAAGTCTGTAGAAGATGAGTGTGATCCAATCTACTATTCCAGAAATAAATTCATTTTTAGGCTAGGTTCAAATCTCTGCAGGTGGGAAAAACATGCAAAATTGCATGAGTTCTCAACCCACAGAGAAATGCTCCGTACTTTAGCAGATCCGTGAGGGTGCCATTATTTCATAATGGCACTCCCACGCCTCCTCAGCCATGGCGAAATTTCACAGCACTGTGTGATTCAGTGTGGCACGATTTCAAAAAAGGTTTTGGGGGCTTCTTTCCCCATGTTTCTTGTGGATAGGGCAGCCCATTGAAATGAATGGGCTGCATTACCCATGACTTGCACACACAAACATGCACACAAAGAGCCTAAAAACAACATATTAAGGCATCTGATAAAAGTTCTTCCAGATATATTGAATGGTTACAACGTAACGTTACCTGACAGCACCTGGAAGAATATTTGTGGGAGTGAATTTGGAATGCATAAGACTTGCCTGGAAAGGGACTCTGGAGGCTTTAAGTTGATGCTAAAGTCAAAACCTTTTTTTTGTATTTTTGTATACTGTGAGGACGTTTTAAACCCCTCTCAGACTTTTATCGCTGTCTCCTTTGGGGAGATTCACCGCTCTGTACTTGTAAATATTGCTTGTCAATATGGAAATCCAACATTTTAGATGAGGTGCACATCTGTGCAGTACTCCAACAGACGTACTAGGGTTGATTTACTAAAACTGGAGCACCCAGAATCTGGTGCAGCTGTGCATGTCAGCCAGTCAGCTTCTAACTTCAGCTTGTTCAATTAAACTTTGGCAATAAAACCTGGAAGCTGATTGGTTTCTATGCAGAGCTGCACCAGATTTTGCACTCTCCAGTTTTAGTAAATCAATCCCAAAATGTTATTGTGTTGAGCTATGAAAGCCCAATCATTTTGAAGGGGCTGTCAATGCACACCAGTACATAGGAAACTGCTCCTGAATATTTTTTTTGGAAATGCAGCATGTTACAACACAGATGAGTTGCTTCAGTGCATGGGTTGGGGACATTCTCTAGTGCAGCTACAGACTAGTGTAGTAGCTGGCATAGGCTGCTGTGGGGGCTTGTGTTTTTTTGAATGACAGTACTGCTGTCCAGCGCAGTCATTCACAACACATGCCTCTATTTACCCCTTGGATTCAAAATAGCTGGTTTTGGCTGCTGGTGGGCAGATCTGTGCTCAATAGCAATGGAGGGAGGGGGAGCGAGCTGTCTGACCACAGTTTTAGCAATCCGTGCACAGAGTTCATTGGGGCCAAGTACTTTTGAACTAAGGTTTTTAAAATTATGGTCATGCCATCTTCTTTAAAGGCCCTTATTTTAAAAGGAGGGTGGTCTATATTGAAGCAATAAAACCCTGAGCATAAATGTTGAGAAAGAAATTTAACTTTTTTGTATAACATGGTTTTCTGTTGTTCATATCTTTGCCTCTCCTTCGTTGTCTTGGTTTAGCTTTTCTCCGATACCTCAAGAGTGATGGTAAACTGAACTCAGTCATCTTCAATAACATTGAGCTTGCTGATGGCAAGCAACACTCACTTCTCCTGCACCTCAGTGGTCTGCATCGAGGAACCAGCGCTGCTGAGCTGTACCTGGACTGTATACAAGTGGATGCTATTAAAGACCTGCCCCGACCACTCACAGGATTAAACTTGAACACAGGATCTGTGCAACTGAAGACTATACAGAAGAAAGGACAGGCAAGAATTTATCTGAAAATCTATGAGTTCTATAATAAGTTCACAAAAAGGGATACAAAGACTGGTGGGATGTAATAGGTAGACTAAGATATCGGTGTAGAAGGAAGAAAGAGTATAATGTCGAATATAAGGCAGCTATTACCAGTTTAAGTTTACTTCTAATTTTTAAGCAAAAAGTGAAATCCAAAGGAGAAGAGTAACAAAAGTAGAAACGGTCTTTGTGGGTTGGAGCAGTGTTTTTCAGCAGCTGATTGAAAAAATGCCCTGTTTCCCCCTGTATTATCACAATTACGTTTATTTTTTGGGGGGTTTATTTAGAGATCTGCAAAGTGAGATCACACAAACATTTGCAGGTAAAATCAAACTGTATATAACATTTAATTAAGTAATGAAAGATAACAGTAACAAATGTAACAATATTGGAAAAAAATATAAAAAGAAAACTTAGCTACAGGTATGATATAAATGCCTTTCGGCAAGGACTCCTGCCCATTTCCAACAGCTTGGCAGATGATCAAGCCAGACATGGGCATGTAACAGCTCTGTTGAGAGAATACCTTACTCCAATCTTGCCTGTGGTGTATATAGAAATAATTGGTAGTAATGACTAATCGTAACGCCTGGAAAGTAGTATTACCTTTTAAGTAAGATAGCACGCATATCTGAAGGGGTTTGGTCAGTTCGTATTAAGGACATTCCTATAGTATTTGGTCAGTTAGGTGAAAAGCATCCTTCATCTACATTCTTATGTATTAGTGAACCATGACTAGGGGAAATTACAATTTCTCCATCACCCTCATCCACATAAGTGGGGTAGATGGAGGAATCCTCCCTGCTGTATTATTGTATTCTGACAGCAGGGACACTTCTCCGCTGTCACAATACACTGGTCAGAGCTGCAGACAATTGACTGCAGCCACTGGTTGACAAAAGTTTTCCAATATTCCCATTTAAAATGAATTACTTAGCGCCTGAGGAGTTGTAAAGAGAAATCCCAGGTGCTGGAAAAAAATATACTACACCCCTGGGTAGGTGTGATCTATAATATATAAGTAACCAGCGCTTGAAGTACAGTCCAGAGTTTCTTAAAAGTTCATCCCCAAAGTCACAGGAAAACTTCCTTATTTTATTTATTATGTTCTCACGCTCTCACCAGATAATAAAGCAAGTAAAGTCCTTCAGTCCATACACTTGTGTCTTCTCTTGTGTGTAGACATTCAATTTGATTCCAATGTGTTTCTCTCCCACCACGCAAAAAAAATCAGATATAGTGTAATCTCTTAAGATAAATTAACTATTTAAAAACAAATAATCATGATCACATAAAGAACAAAATACTGTGCAAACTTATCTCCACCATGTGAAAAAAAATTCTGGTATCCACCACCTCTACCCTTACCCTCAGTCCAAACAATTCTTGCAGTATTATCAATTATCCTTTCACTGTTCTCTACCTGTTGATCTCCTCATACGATAGGCTCCCCAAAAAAGAAAAGATCATATAGTGTAGTAATTTATATTAATAAAAATAAAATTCTTTTAGTTATAAACACTCACATTCTATAAATATAACTCAAACACCCAAAATTTGTAACCATCTACCTGGTGTGCACCGCTCCTCACCCTTCAGACCATGCACCTTACCAGATTCACAAAAAAAAACAAGCATGTATGAACTCTAAGGTCCACTCTCTTCAAACCAACACCATCTTATATCTACAATACCTCCATATATCAGTGTGTATTCCTCCGGCGTTGGTTCAGCTTTTAACCACCGATCATCCAGCTCCAGCTCCACCAATCTCCCGCACCTTTGGAAACACGTTGGAATCAAATTGAATATCTACACACAAGAAAAGACATGGACTGAAGGGCTTTACTTTCCAACATTCCTGTTTGATCGATTTCTGTCGAGCACCATTGGCCATACATGGATCAAAATTCCCTGCTGAACTGACTCAATTTTAATCCATCTATGGCCAGCTTGCCTTCCTAACCGAAGTCAAATATAAAACAATGTTATCAACTTTCCAAGCTATCTTCTGTAAACTACAAAGTAACATCCCTCTATGTAATAGAGATAAAGTGAGGGGGAGTTATTTGCAGTCAAAATAAGAAGAGCAACTTAGGGTGACAACGCTTTTCCTTCATAGATACAGTGATTGAGCGTTGTCATCCCAGGGCAGGAAGTGTGTTAGTAGCAGGATCACTAGGTGAAAATAGAGGAGAAAAAAAGCCTACAAAAAGCAACTATAGCGGCCAGCACATCTGAAGACTGATACCTGCAATATATAAAATTTTTGTTTTCTGGGTTTATATGCAGTGTCTTGAAAAAGTATTCATACCTCTTGAAATTTTCCACATTTTGTCATGTTACAACCAAAAACGTAAATGTATTTTATTGGGATTTTATGTCATAGACCAACACAAAGTAGCACATAATTGTGAAGTGGAAGGAAAATGATAAACGGTTTTCAACATTTTTTGCAAATAATTATCTGAAAAGTGTGGTGTGCGCTTGTATTCAGCCCCCTGAGTCAATACTTCGTAGAACCACCTTTCACTGCAATTACAGCTGCAAGTCTCTTTGGGTTTGTCTCTACCAGCTTTGCACATCTAGAGAGTGAAATTGTTGCCCATTCTTCTTTGCAAAATAGCTCAAGCTCTGTCAGATAGGATGGGGAGTGTCTGTGAACTGCAATTTTCAAGTCTTGCCACAGATTTAGGTCTGGACTTTGACTGGTCCATTCTAACACATGAATATGCTTTGATCTAAACCATTCCAGTGTAGCTCTGGCTGTATGTTTAGGGTCCTTGTCCTGCTGGAAGGTGAACCTCCGCCCCAGTCTGAAGTCTTTTGCAGACTCTAACAGGTTTTTTCTTCTAGGATTACCCTGTATTTGGTTCCATCCATTGACTCTGACCAGCTTCTGTCCCTGCTGAAGGAAAGAATCCCCGAAGCATGATGCTGCTACCACCACGTTTCACGGTGGGGATGGTGTGTTCAGGGTGATGTGCAGTGTTAGTTTTGTACTACACATAGCGTTTTGCTTTTAGGCCAAAAAAGTTAAATTTTGGTCTCATCTGACCAGAGCACCTTCTTCCACATGTTTTTGCTGTGTCCCCCACATGGCTCCTCACAAACTGCAAACGGGACTTCTTATGGCTTTCTTTCAACAATGGCTTTCTTCTTGTCACTCTTCCATAAAGTCCAGATTTGTGGAGTGCACGACTAATAGTTGTCCTGTGGACAGATTCTCCCACCTGAGCTGTGGATCTCTGCAGCTCCTCCAGAGTTGCCATTGGCTTTTTGGCAGCTTCTGTGATTAATGCTCTCCTTGCCTAGCCTGTCAGTTTTGGTGGATGGCCATTTCTTGGTAGGTTTGCAGTTGTACCATATTCTTTCCATTTTCGGATTATGGATTGAACAGTGCTCCATGAGATGTTCAAAGCTTGAGATATATTCTATAACCTAACCCTACTTTAAACTTCTCCACAAGTTTATCCCTGACCTGTCTGGTGTGTTCCTTGACCTTCATGATGCTGTTTGTTCACTAATGTTCTCTAACAAAACTGTGAAGGCTTCACAGAACAGCTGTATTTACACTGACATTACCACTTGCCCTCCAGAGGATTTACCCCCCCCCCCTGACAAGGCCATTTTTTTTATATGGTGCTGTGTTACTTTAACTGACAATTGCGCGGTCATGCAATGCTTCACACAAATGAAATTTATGTCCTTTTTTTTCCCCCACGAATAGAGCTTTCTTTTAGTGGTATTTGATCACATGTGCGGTTTTCATTTTTTGCACTATAAATGAAAACGTCCGACAATTTTGAGAAAAAAACAATATTTTTTTACTTTTTGCTATTAAACATGTCCAGTAAAAAAATGTTAAAAATCAAATTTCGTCAAAAATTTAAGCCAAAATGTATTCTGCTACATGTCTTTGCTAAAAAAAATCCCAATATGTATAAAGTAATAGGTTTACGTGAATGTTATAGCATTTGCAAATGGCAGTATATACTGGGCATTCTGACACTGGGGGGAACTGACTTGGTGGCATTGACATCACCAGTGACACCAATACAGTGGTCAGTGCTAATAAAAAGCACTGACACTGTACTAATGACACTGGGCAGGAAGGGGTTAACATCTGGGGCGATCAAAGGGTTAACTGTGTGCTGTGTGTGTGCTTTACCTTGTAAGCATGCTGCTTTGTATTGCTCTACTATTTATATACAGACCTCTCCCCTGTCAGTGATACTCGGCGATCGCCGGGTGACGGTGGGGAATCACCAGCCAGAACCCGGTGATCGACAGCTGAAGCCTTCAATGCGGCAAGGGTAGAGCGCGAGCAAATCTGCTACAGTGCAACATGTGATTTTTGCGCAGCCGTGCTGCCCTGTAGCAGTATTTCTGCTATGGGGCAGCGGGCAAGCAGCTAAATTACACGAAGGTAACTCTATTTACTAATTAGGTGACTTCTGAAGGCAATTGGTTCCACTAGATTTTAGTTATGGGGTATCAGAGTAAAGGGGGCTGAATACAAATTCACACCACACTTTTTAGATATTTATTTGTAAAACATTTTGAACACCATTTTTCCTTCCACTTCACAATTATGTGCCAGTTTGTGTTGGTCTATCATATAAAATCTCAATAAAATTAATTTACGTTTTTGGTTGTAACATGACAAAATGTGAAAAATTTCAAGGGGTATGAATACTTTTTCAAGGCACTGTATACTTTATAAAACTTTCAGTAACAGGGGATTACATATCAACAGAGTTGGATGCAGAGATTGTTAATGTTGTTGCTACTTTATATATTTTGTTACATTGTGGGGGAGAATTCCTCAGGTTTTCATCTCACAACACTGTCTAGCGACCCCATAGAGCATTAGGTGCTGAATATTTGGATGCATGTGCCCAAGCATCCTCATGATATTTTGGATAATAACTAAATCCAGGATCCTGCAGTGGGATTGAGTGATGGGGGAGGGGACTGGGATATTTTCATGCAAGGTCCACTTTAGGGTACCTATACAGCAATGTTGTCTCATGAAAGACATGCATGGAAGTAAAAGTATTCCAAAAGATTGCAATTGCCTGGCTGGGTGCTGGTTCAATGATGGTCAACACATTTTTTTCTCTTCTGGTCTTTTTGTTTCAGGATTCTATGGAAGAACTGAAGTTGGTCATGGGAGGTACACTGACACAAGTAGCATCAATACAAGAATGTTTCATGCAGCAGAGTGAACCTGGACAATATACAGGTGGGTCCTACTTAGTGTAAGTATTTCCATATTCACAGACCTAAAGGGAAGCTAAAATAATTTTTGGTTCATACATTTTTGAATGTTTTGTTTATGTTTATAAGCTTTTGAACGATGTTATATTTTTTTTTTTTACTTTGTACAGTATATAAAATCTTTATTTTACAAATACCTATCTAATAAACATCCAGAGAGAGCAAGCAGGCATGAGAAGTAAGGGAGGAAGGATGGAGCTTTTCTCTGAATCATTAAATATCTATTTTATATCAGGCTGATCCTATAAATTGCGTCTATCTTTGTCATTTCATAATTGGTTTACCTATACCGCTACTCCTGATGAAGTGGCCAATGTGATGCTATAAAGTGTATTGATGGTGTTCCAAAATATTTGCTATTATTAAAAGCCTTGTACAGAATACTTTGAGTGTATTGTATAACAGGCACATAATGGGTATTACTGGCACCTTAGCACATCATCACATCTGTTTTGGGACCAGAACATACCTAACATTATTGCGTTGAAGGCAGACAGACAGAGGAGGAAATGTTAGACCTTTACCTTTACCTGAGAAATAAAAAACATTAGATTCAACCAGGGAAAGATTAAGAAATTTTGGCCTGGGGGGGGGGGGGGGGCATCTACAAGTGGCCCTTTCATGGTGGAATTCTGTGGGCTACAAAATGTACAATGCAAAGTATTCTATCGTCCAGCAGTTATTTGTAGGCATTGTAACAGATGAGTGTTCCTACAGGACATGGTTTATTGTGACACAACGTATGGCATCTCCCAGCATCAGCTTCCTTTGCAGTTCTCTGCATTCATTCTCATGTCATTTCATAGCAGCAAGTAAGGTTATTAACTGCATTTTCCATGATAATTATTTTTATTTGCAGGTGATGTCAGCAGGCAGCTTTTAGGGCACATTTCACAGCTGAACCAACTCCTGGGGGAACTCAGAGATGTCATGAGACAACAGGTGAGTGGAACATTCAATAACATTAATCTCTGACTTTACTGCTGATAGTTACATATCAGGGTGATGAATATTATAAAATGTTCTAGGCATAATTATCATCAGTAGCATAACACTTCTGCTATGTAATCCAGCAACTTTTTCTACCACAAAGTAATGTTGCTGAGGAATATTTTATCTGTCCTATACTGTAAAATCATTTTTTTTGCAGATTTAAAGCAGAGCTCCACCCAAAAGGGGAAGTTCCGCTTTAAGGACTGGTCCCCATTAAGGATTGGCACCTTTGGGGAGCAGGGAGGGAGCAGGTACCCAAATTTGACAGGTACCCGCTCCCGCTTCCCATCCAATTGCCTAGGCGATCGGAAGCGGAAGGTGTACTCCCTCCCTCCCTCCCTGTAGTCTTTTGGGACACGTGACAGGTCCCAGAAGACTACAAGACCATTCATGAAGTGCAGCGCTACTCACGTATGCGCAGTGGGTACCCAGCTGTAAAGCCAAAAGCTATCACTGCCAGGTGCCCACACTGAAGATGCCGGCCTTCTGGAATACAGGAGGGTCGGTGAAATGGGCTGCAGAGGACACACCGCGGGACCGAAGGACAGGTGAGTGGCTGTTTTTTAAAAGTCAGCAGCAGCGACACGTTTTGTAGCTGCTGACTTTTATTTTTTGACAGCATGAGTGGAACTCCACTTTAAGTTTTACAGGATCTTGTCCCTTAACATGACTATCCAGCTTTGTACAAGCAAAAAGTTCCCTCCATCCTGCAAACTCCATTCCAAAGACATTCTCTATTCTAGTCCTGTATAGTTACTATATATACTACTGGGTGATGAGCTGCAAATAAAACTTTTTGGCTCTTCTGATGCTCTCTGGCCATTCACTGATTAATAAACAGCCTTCTGTCACAGAAATGTCTGTAAAGCAAAGTTAGACTGACCATGGACTTTAGCAGGCAGACTGATGCATAGGCTCAATAAGCTACTCTTTTGCCAAATTCTGTCCAGATTGCTTCATAACTAGCCGAGCATACAGTTGAAACTGCACGAGGAGATCCATGCTGATAGGTGAAAAGTTTTAAGACACGGTATTCTGACCTATCAGTTCAAAGGCTTGCTGTGCAAAACAGTTGTCTATGGTGTCTGCAAGTACTACAGTCACAAGGGCAGTTTTCCTGTTCAGTATAAAATTCCCGCATTAGTTGATCTTCTGTTGCTTTTTATATATATATTAGGTAATGTATATATATATTAGGTAATGTATGAACATTTTGATTTCTTTGTCTTCCCAAGGTGAAGGAAACCATGTTTTTGAGGAACACTGTCTCAGAATGCCAAGCTTGTGGTTAGTGCTTTGTAAATCTTCATTTTTTATCATTTTTAGTCATGAACTTTGTGTAGACATATAGAAGAGAAGCTGAGTACCACAAAAACAACTTTTTTACGTACCATTAAAAATCTATTACACAACAATAAAAATTATTCTTCACATAGGGGTTCGCAACATGCAAAGATTCCTGTGACAGAGTCAGTACACTGGAACCCACTCTTAATCTTTAATTAGTATTAAATGAATCTTTAATTAGAGTAATATCAATAAGTAGGGTAGACTCAGGGCCTGTGCTTCCACTAGGACGGGTGTCGGCAACCCGCGGCTCCGGAGCCGCATGCGGCTCTTTTTCACCTTTCCTGCGGCTCCGGAGCACACTGCCCACCAGGTGACAGGCAATAGGGTCGGCAAGCCGCGGCTCTTTTAATGCAGCTCTTCTGTGTGCCGGGCGCCCGCTGGCAAACATTGGCTGTCAGGATGTAGGCGGGGCAGCGTGACGAACTCCTCTCACAGTCCGCCCTGAAGACCAGAACGGCGCGGGAACACGGCGAGAAGAACGCGCGTAGCAAAGGTAAGTGAATTGACACAATATGGGGAATTAATTACTATAGGGGGGGAATGAATGAATTACTATAGGGGGGATGGGGAATGAATTACTATATGGGGGATGGGGGGATGAATTACTATATGGGGGATTAATTACTATGGGGGATGAATTACTATATGGGGGGAATGATTAATTACTATATGGGGGGATGAATTACTATATGGGGGATGAATTACTATATGGGGGATCAATTACTATGGGGGATGAATTACTATATGGGGGATTAATTACTATGGGGGATAAATTACTATATGGGGGATGAATTACTATGGGGGATTAATTACTATATGGGGGATGAATTACTATATGGGGGATGAATTATTATAGGGGGGATGAATTACTATATGGGGGATGAATTACTATATGGGGGATGAATTATTATAGGGGGGATGAATTACTATAGGGGGGATGAATTACTATATGGGGGATGAATTACTATGGGGGATGAATTACTATGGGGGATGAATTACTATAGGGGGGATGAATTACTACGGGGGATGAATTACTATGGGGGATGAATTACTATGGGGAATGAATTACTATGGGGGATGAATTACTATATGGGGGATGAATTACTATATGGGGATGTATTTTCAGTTTTAAAAATGTTTCTCTCAAAATAAATTTCAATCGTGGTTTTGGCGAGATTTGGCTCAGTTGAAAAAAAAGGTTGCCCACCACTGACCTAAGGCTATGATTGTGATTATGACGATACACTGTGGCCCTGATTAACCCTTTGCTTACTGGGCCCTTAAACCCCCTTCATGACCAAAGCGCTTTTTGCAATATATACAGTGTCGGATTTGTTTTAAATGTTGCAATGGTTTTGCGGCTCCCAGTCTTTTTTTCCCTCTCGGAAACGGGTCCAAGTGGCTCTTTATGTCTTAAAGGTTGCAGACCCCTGCACTAGGAAAATGAGGTGGCCGCCTAGAGCACACTGCCACCTAAGGGTGCCTGGGCATAGCACAGGCCGGCACGCACTATGTGGGACATCACCACATCATGAATGATCCTCCAGCCTAGTGGAGGGGCGACAGAGGGGAGGAAGATGCCAGGTGTCTGGGGCCAGTGTAGCACCTGAGCTGCTGCTCCTTCCATTGTTCCTCTCAGACTCAGTCCCTTACTGCAAGCCAGCTGGGAGCTGCTGATCACTGTGGAGTTCCAGCCTTTTCTCTTCCCATACATCAGCGGAGGTAGAGCTGCGCCTGCGGAGGAAGGCAATGTCTGACTCTGATGTCTCATGTCTGTGTGAGTGTGACCCGGCCGGCCATCCATCACATTTGCAATGTGTCAGTGAGTGATGACATCATCACAATCCCACAGCCTGCGCTTCTACTGCCTGCTGATCTGTGTCAGTCTTGGTGGTAGTGTGTGTGTAGGGGCTGGGCTTCCTGCTGTCACAGTGTTTTATCTCCCCCCCCCCATTGCCTGGGGAATTCCAGCCTGGGATCTGTGAGTGTGTGGGTCCGTCTTCCCCCACTCACTGCAGCTGTCACCCTGCCACTGCCAGCCACAGATACAGTCCATCTCTGACACTGATTTTGTCTTTAATATTGGTGTTGGTAGCATCTTATGGCAGTTATCTTTGCAAATTAAAAGAAATTTAGCAGTTTCATGTTTTGCTGATTTAATATTTTCTACAGTTTTAAAAAAAATTATTTTTAATTTCTTTTTTTTTTGGTTGGCGAAAGTAGCTGGTCTTGCCTAGGGCACAAAATAGTCTAGCACCAGCCCTGGTTAGACTGGAATTCATACCATATGCATGTTGCCTATAGAGGTGCAAATGAGTAGACCAAGGTGAAGCTACTGCTAGCGACAGTCTAAAAAATGTATACCATACGGTAATTCTTTTCTTATGTGCTAACCCTACCTTGTGTCATATGTTCTGTGTACTGATCATTAAACTTGTCAATATCACTGTACCAGAAACAAAGACCAATTCAAGGATTGGTTCAGGCAGATGCCAAGTAACCTTTGCTTGTTTACAGAATTTGGGTTGAAAAGTCAAAAATGTTTTATCAAAAGGATACTTTTTAGAGGATAATCAAAAATATTTAAATGATACAACTTTAAATCTGTAAAGCTCCTGCTTCTGGAATTATAACAGGTATAGTTATCTTCCATAATACATGGAGACAAAGCATTAAAACGCAAAAAGGTTTTTTTTTTTAATGTATCTAATTACAACATGTCTCTTTTATAACACTTTGTCCTGCGTATCTGTGTATTTATTCCTGCCTAGCATGGTGCATCATCCATTATTTTTTTTTGCATGCTAGTATGTGGGTCAGATTGAACACAAATATAGCAAGAACTAGCTCTGAGAACTTCAATTAACTTAGTAATATACTTTACTATCTATGCAGAGCAAACATATTATCAAATATAATACTACTCATCAGAAGTTTCCAATAATAGAATATTTTTTTTTTGGTCAGTCCACCCAAAAGGCATATTTTACTTGAACCTGGGGAGTTAAGTTAGCAACTTGCTTATTATATATATATTGGATACCCCAACAAAGAGATAGTTTGCCACAATACTTTCCTGTCCACCTGCGAGTTATGCAAATTCCTGACCATATTTGCATGTCCTAGCTACTACTATTACTTCTTCTCTATTATAAAACACATTTGAAAATCCAACAAGAATAGTGAGAACTCTTCCATCAGATTTGTACTTGCAGGATCTCAAGTGCTGCTATCTCACCAATATAGTCTATGGGAGATATAAGAGATTTTTGTCGGTTAAACTGTCCAGCAACTACCAAAAACTATAAATCTTATCAATATAAGGACTTGGGATAAGCAAAAATAAGTCTTCAGCTGCCTAAGATTTCAGCAAAAATCAAGAGATGTTCATAAAATTATGCCAAAATGCACTGGAGTCAATGGCATAGTTATAATTAGGGTGGGTTTTGATGGTTGGTAAGAGTGCAATAATATAATAATGAAGAAAAACATATGTTTTTTTTTTAAAGAAACTTTAGTTCAAGCATCTCAATGCGTGAAAAATTTAAGTTTCAGCTTTGGTGAAATTTTAAATTTCATGACAAAATAAATTTTGGCAAAATCTTCCTCTCATCCCTAACACTGACATGTGCTGTTTCCTTTGAAAGAGACATAATGAGTTATTATAAAGACTACACTAGAAAAGGCAGCTTTAATCTTTGCACAATAGTGGTGTAGTACTTAAGGGACTCTGGCCAATCCCCAGGCAGGATGCTTGGCATGGGGCCAGGGCAGCCCTTAAGTGTGACTGAGCCTGCTCAGCAGCAGGAGAGTTTGGGTGGAAGATGGAGTGAGAGGCTGGGATGCAGGAGCCAGAGACAGGGCCCAGTGATAAGGGGCCTACCTCTAGGCTGGATTGCTTGACTTTACCGGTCTACAGAAAGTGGACCACCTGTAGAGCAAGGGAAGGAGCCAGCCCAGCAGAATGCCTGAAGGCAGTCACCAACCCAACAAGCCTGCAGGCAAGCAACAGTGAGTAATCCTACACCCCTTGGGGCGGATAAGGGGAGAGGGCATTCTGGTGGGAAACCTGACTAGCCCCATCTGGGACTGTGCACTTAAAGTGACATATTGTGGTATCCCTTGCTAAAGGATTCCCTCAGTACAGCTGGATGAGAAGAGGATTCACCTGGGGTCTGGGGTGGTACACCAGGAGAGGCTGGAGAGCTCTCCAAGAAGAGATCTACTGCAGAGCCTTGTACATAGTTATTCAGGGGTTGTCCTCAGTTACAGTTCCCTTGGGCATCCCATAAATCCCTCAACCCCATCCAAGTTTATTACCCCTTAATAAAATCACAAATACAAGCCTAAGGTCTGGTTACTATCTCCAGTGTGCAAGTTTGAAGAAAGAAATATGTGTTGCCTGGCTGCAGGACTATAGGGGGACCCAAAACTCAGCGACCCCTAAGGGGGTAGTGGTACAGTGGCTATTCTCCACTCTGTGACCTCTAAAGAAGTTGTGGAGAACCAAAGCTGAACCTGCTCAAGCTATTTTTACATGATGGGCTTAGAATAAAAATGAAAAATAAATGTTATAGGAGATCTAAAGCTTCTTTTCATAGAGGTAGACTCCATTGTGACAAGGTTCCTTTAAGAATTGGTAACTATAGACAGATAAAATCCCTGTAATGTTCCCTGAAATCTGTAAATATGATATAACATAGTTCTTGCACATGTGTATTCTTTTCCATTTTTGAGGATCCAGAGGCAACAAGTAAATACATTTTTTCTGGACATCCATCCCTGCTTCTTATGTGTTCCATTATGTATAGTTTACCAACTTAGGTTTGTTTAACACCTATGCATTTTTTAGTGCTTTTTCACATTTTGCAGAAAAGCACCATAGTCCATTTAACTTGGTTCCCTATGGGACACGTTCACATCTATGTGTATTCAGCCACTGCATTTTTGGAAAGGGTCAGGGACTTTTTTCTCGCAACAGATTGAAAAATGCAACAGGTATGAACCAGACCTTAATCAGGATAGTCAGCAATCAAAGAACTGTAAAACGTTTATTTTTATTGGCAAACTGTGAATAAAAAGACCTGGCATGCAAAATATGAAGCCACAGCCCACACTTATGTGCCTAACTATGTTTTTCTAAGGCCAATGAAGCATAAAAGTTTATGAACTGGCACACCAGCAGACTTAGTAAGATATTTGGGACCAAGAGCAAGATATGTAATAGTTATAGCCAATTTGTATATTTTATTCTGGATGGGCTGAAAGAGAGTGAGCAGACCGTAAAACCCAATGATTGCTACTTTGTACCTTTGTTTTTATTATGTGAGTTATTAAAGAATAGTATTGTATTTCATTTTGAAATAGTTTTATCCATTTAATATATTGTACATACTTAACTTAAAAATCTTTTAACCTTTGATTTATTTTCCAACAATAATGAACATTTGAAAAAAAGGCAATAAAAAGTTTTTGAATTGGCCAGCCACACTTTGTAAATTCTTCTAAAATAGTTTGGCTTTGTCCACTTTCCTTCTTGAAAGCACCAATGTCCATTTATTTTGCACCATGAAATAAAAACTGTACTGTTGGTAAACTCCACCAATGTGATCATCTTCTATTGTTATCAAACAGCAAGCACTAGAAAGAAACGAGGAACAGGCTGAAATGCATTGGTTACTGTTGTCCAAAGTTTGATTTTGTGTATTTTGTCTAGTTGCTATTTATTTCACATTTTGCTACATAAGAGGTGAGACTTTGACTGAATAGGACCAGGCATCCCCTAGCAAAACAAGTAGCTAAAGTGTGATTTTAATGCACAAGTTAATGATGAATATCATAATTGAATTGGTTTAAAACTTTAGGCTAACCTCACAAGACATGGTAACTCATGATGCAGTGCTGTACAGGGCTATACACCCAATGCATATTAATGCATAATGTACCCCATGTTAGTTGGCTGTAATGCACCCCAATGCAGCAGAGCAGTGTGAAAGAGGCCACAAGGTTCATCACATAATGTAACAAAAGCAAAAAAGAACAATTTAAAATAATAGAATCAATAAAATATTAATCCTCCAAAAACTGTATTAAAACTATAAATGTTCTGAAGTTTAAACGTACTTATTATATGCTTTAACCCAAATTTGTTTTATATAATTTAGGCTTAACTACAGACTACCCCTTTCCAACACCGGCTCCTAAGCCAAAACCTACAACACCTCCTAAGCCTCGATGTGCCGCAACTTCCTGTTTCCAAGGGGTGAAATGCACCGACACAGGGAGTGGTTTCCAGTGTGGACCCTGTCCAGAGGGCTATGCTGGCAATGGTATCATTTGTAGTGACATCGATGAGGTATGCATTCAGTTACCTTGTTATATACATACAGTTGTGACCAAAATTATTCAACCCCCAATGCTGTAAAGGGGTTTAGGGGACTATAGTGTACATTTGGAATTGTATTCAGAATCAAATCCTACAAGGACGTTGTAACTACCCAAATGCAACTAAAATGACATCAATTGTTTATGTAATACAGTAGTAAATGGTTCTTATGTGGTTTCTTCATTGCCACAATTATTCAACACCCCTTAAAGACTACCACTCTGAAGAACAGAGGTTCATACAGGTGCTTTCCATCAGGTATTGAAAACACTGTGGATGTCACCGAGCAGCAATCAAGCATAATAAGCACCAATTAGGCAGCTTAAAAATGACTGTGATACTCAGCTCCTTCTAGACATTTACTGGTGTGGTTACAAACATGGTGAAGGCAAGAGAATGGTCCAGGAAGACAAGAGAAGAGGTGATTTCTCTTCACAGGAAGGGCAATGGCTATAAGAAGATTGCAAAGATGTTAAACATACCAAGAGACACCTTAGGAAGCATCATTCGCAAATTCAAGGCAAAGGGCACTGTTGAAACGCTACCTGGTCGTGGCAGAAAAGAAGAGCTGACTTCGACTGCTGTGCGCTACCTGAAGCGTAGAGTGGAGAGAAGTCCCCGTGTGACTGCTGAGGAACTGAGAAAAGATTTGTCAGATGTGGGTACAGAAGTTTTCAGCCCAGACAATAAGACGCACACTGCGTAATGAAGGCTCCGTGCCAGAACTCCCAGGCCGTACCCCCTGCTGTCTCCAAAGAATAAGAAGAGTCGACTGCAGTATGCCAAAAGCCATGTGGACAAAACCACAAAAGTTGTGGGATAGTGTTCTGTGGACTGATGAAACAAAATTAGAACTGTTTGGGCCCATGGATCAACGCTATGTTTGGAGGAGGAAGAACAAGGCCTATGATGAAAAGAACACCTTGCCTACTGTGAAGCATGGTGGAGGGTCAATCATGCTTTGGGGCTGTTTTGCTTCTGCAGGTACAGGGAAGCTTCAGCGTGTGCAAGGTACCATGAATTCTCTTCAGTACCAGGAGATATTGGATGGAAACGTGATGCAGTCCGTCACAGACACACCTGAGGCTTGGGAGACGTTGGACCTTTCAACAGGACAATGATCCCAAGCATACCTCCAAGTCCACTAGAGCATGGTTGCAGAGGAAAGGCTGGAACATTTTGGAGTGGCCATCGCAGTCACCAGACTTAAATCCGATTGAGAACCTCTGGTGGGACTTAAAGAAAGCAGTTGCAGTGCGCAAGCCTAAGAATGTGACTGAACTGGAGGCCTTTGCCCATGAAGAATGGGCGAAGATACCCGTAGATCGCTGCAAGACACTTGTGTCAAGCTATGCTTCACGTTTTAAAAGCTGTTATAACTGTAAAAGGATGCTGTACTAAGTACTAAGATTGAATGTCACTTGGGGGTTGAATAAAACTGATAATGCTGTGAGCACAGAAAAGACATTTGTGGTTATTTCATTATAACTGTTATGTTATATTTGTCTGACCTACAAGTGCCTCTTTAATGTAAATGTAAGCAAGATGACTGAAATGATCAAAAGCAATGTCAAACTGGCCAAAAAACACTCAATTTCAGTGGGGGTTTGAATAATTTTGGTCACAACTGTATTTTTAACACTTCCACTGTAAAATTAGCAAGAACTGGTATGCTGAATTCAATTTTTTTTCTTACTAGCCGTACAACATTAAAATAAACTTTTCAGTAACTTTACAAGTCTGCATAAACAAACTTATGACATTGTTATAACATACAGCAATATTATATTTTAAAAAATGTGTCAACTTTTAAAAAGCAGTCCCTAAAGATGATATCAGTGTATGGAGAAGACACCGCTACTCTGGTGATCTCCACTGACTTCCAGGTCCCATGCTGAGCTGCTGGCCTGCTACATTCTGAACACATGAGTTCGGCTGCTCCTACTGGGTGCTATCCAGAGAATGTTTTGCATTTTTTTGAATGATTGCAAAGTGTTTTCTCATTTGACAAGATAGAGAGATTATGGCAGTGACATCACTTGCTCCACATCATCCCTCAGAGAACTGTCATCCAATACAGATTATAGGCAAAAGCACAAAGCCAATCAGAGTGGCTCTGTGCCTTGTGATTGCTGTGATTGGTCCTTTATCTCACAGCGGAGATAAGGAAGGAAGGATGATCTTATAAGTGATTTAATATTAATATGGGATTTTTTTTTTTAAACAGTTTCACCCCCTCCTCTCCTATACATTCCTCTTTCCATGCTGTGTGTATCTTTCCTGTACACTAATACTTTGACCTCACTTATCTTTCACATTAACTCCCACATCTCCATCATCTCAATGTATGTTACCTGTACATTACCCCCTTCAACTCCTCCTTCCTCTATGCATGACCTTACATTAATGATACATTATATCTAGTGCACTATATTACCAAGCTCCATGATTTACCCCACAAAATCATCATATTTCTTCAATTCCAAAAGATTTCAACAATAAATTGGATCATCTTGGGGTATCTACTTTTCAAGAAAGGGTCATTTTGGGGGTGTTTGCATTGTCCTGTCATTTTTACTTTATATGTTTTAGAAAGATTTTTTTTTTTTCAAAATGTTTGGTCTTTTTCCCTTTATATAGTAAAAAATAAAATTAGCCTGTAATACCTCTCCACTATCAGGCATTTCAGTACAGAGGTGTATGACCAAGCAATTGCCAGTCAAATGATCACAGTGTTGACTCACTAAATGGCCTGGTAGTGGAGAGGTATTACAGGCTAGTGTTCAGATTATGATATTATGTAAATGTTCTATGATAAAACACTGGACATAGTTTAGTGTCAGGAAAGTGTACACAAAACAAATGATCCATTATAAAGTAATTAATGTTTGGCTATTTGTTGATGATTTCAGTGCAGATTGAACCCTTGTTTCCCTGGAGTCCGATGCATAAACATTATTCCAGGATTTAGGTGTGAATCCTGTCCTCCTGGATACACGGGACCAATTGTACAAGGTGTGGGAACAACATACGCCAAGCAAAATAAACAGGTAACATTTTACAGGTGCAATAGTTTCTAGACAAATGTTTTTTTCCAGGAACTGATTAAACTCTGATATACTGTTTCCCCTAACGGGGACACAGACAGTCAGGGCTACGCGCGGGAATGCAGTTCTGGCACCTCCAGCATTGAATATATGTAATGGCAAGGGGTGTTGGTTGTCCTGGAGGGCCTGTTGATGCTGGCTGCTAGGGAATCTATTTCCATTGGTGGAGATCTGTTTTTTTTTTTGTGAGGGTCTGTTGTTGCTGGTGGGGGATTTATTGTTGCTGGTAAAAATCTACTGTTGAGGGGGAGGTTGCTGGCTGTTGGGGTGTCTATTGATGCTGGCTGCTGGAAGATCTGTTTTTGCTGTGGGGGTGTAATGTTGCTGGGTGGATCTTTTGTTGCTGGGTGTGGTACTATGTTGTGGGTCTTCTGTTTTTCTCTTCTATCGGGAGTCTATTGTTATGCGAGGGATCTAATGTTGCTGGAGTGGGGTCTAAGGTTGCTGGGGTGGGGTCTATTGTCGCTGCAGGGGAACTTTTGTTGCTGGAGTGGGATTTATTGTTGCTGAGGGAACCATTGTTGCTGGAGGAGTCTGTTGTTATATGGATGATCATTGTTGCTTGCTTGGAGTCTATTTTTCTGCTTTACTGCTTTTTTTGTTAGTGTTACTAAACCCACAACAGTAAAAAGGTTGTTTGATCCTGACTTCTCTGCTTCTCAAATATCCACATCTTATCTCCTGATAAGACTGACAGAACCGTAGCCATTCTGCACATGCTCAGTTTAGTGTGTATTGCTAGAGAGGTTTTTTTTTTTTTCTTGGGAGAGTGCATGTGATCAGCACAGGGCCAATCAGCACTGTCCAGACAGAGGGTCAGGGGTTTTGCATCCTCCTAGAGCAGAAAGAAAACTCCTCCTACAAGCTTTAACCAGTGCTCTGCTGAACACTGATAAAAGTAACAAGACTGCTCTAACTGCTGATGAGAAAAGGTATTGAGCAGTTTATATTTACTAAAATAATTGCATTTCCATGTTCTGTGTACTGTGGGAGACCAGATATAGTGAATGCAGGGTACTGGGTTTAGTTGCTAAACCCAGGACCCTACATTTACTCTATCTGGTCTTCCACAGTACACAGAACATGAAAATGCAATTATTTTAGTAAACATAAACTGCTAAATACCTTTTCTCATCAGCAGTTAGAGCAGTCTTGTGACTTTAGCAGAGCACTAGTTAAAGCTTGTAGGAGGAGTTTTCTTTCTGCTCAAAGAAGATGTGAAACCCCTGACCCTCTGTCTAGACAATGCTGATTGGCACTGAGCTGGTCACATGCACTCTCCAAAGAACAAAAAAAACCTCTAACAATCCACATAAAACTGAGCATGCGTATGTGACTGTGGATTCAGTCTGTATCAGGTGGTCATTTCAACAAGAAGAGAGGCAGAGAAGAAAGGATAAAACAGCCTATTTACACAATGCAGAGGATTAACCCCTTATGTTCCACAGTGAGTATAACAAGCATGCTTTACTGCATATACAGACTGATTTTACTGTTGTGGGTCTAGTAACACTTTAACTAATTCCATACAAATTATTTAGCACCACAAAATGATACTTGGTTTAGCATTCTCTAAAAGGTACTGGGAGGTGGGTAGGTGGTGGAACCAAGGAATGGTGCTCAGAGGAGGGTAGGGGGCAGAGGCAAAGGGGGACTCAGAAAGGGGTAGTTCCTGGACCTATTCTCTGAGAAAAAAGCCCTGCATACAGCAAGAGACCCTTGTCCACTCTATCCAAATCTAAAAAAAAAGCTTACCTTTTAGTTATATTTTAGCTGGATGCACATGTGCCCTTTTTCACAAGGTACTGTACATATCAATATATTAAAAGGATTTTGAACTATGTTTTACAAAAAAACATAATATGTTTGATAAACTGCCAATAAAAAATCTACAATATAATGGCATTTCATTGATCTCTGTATACTGCTCTATGGTAATGATAACAGCTTCATGTCAGCAAAACACATGTAGTGCTAAAATTCCTAAGTAAACAGCTTATCAGCAGTCACAGTGCAATATGCTAAGAAAAGACCTAACAGACCTAACAGTGTCCAAGGCTTCAGATAATGTGCACAGTCAAATAATCTTGATGTGACTAAAACTATTTATACCTCAGTAGAATTTTGTTCAAATGTTTTCATCACGTTTTGTATGATATATTTCGTTCTAATGTCCTGTTAATGTTTTGAACCAATGATGGGGCACTATTCCCCCCACTGACACCAACAATGGGACACTATTCCTCCCACTGACACCAATGATGGGGCACTATTCCCCCCACTGACACCAACAATGGGACACTATTCCTCCCACTGACACCAACAATGGGACACTATTTCTCCCACTGACACCAGTGGTGGGGCAATATTCCTCCCACTGACACCAACAATGGGACACTATTCCTCCCACTGACACCAACAATGGGACACTATTCCTCCCACTGACACCAATGGTGGGGCACTATTCCCCCCACTGACACCAACAATGGGACACTATTCCCCCCACTGGCACCAATGATGGGGCTGGCACTATTCCCCCCCACTGACACCAACAATGGGACACTATTCCCCCCACTGGCACCAATGATGGGGCTGGCACTATTCCCCCCCCACTGACACCAACAATGGGACACTATTCCCCCCACTGGCACCAATGGTGGCGCTGGCACTATTCCCCCCCACTGACACCAACAATGGGACACTTTTCCCCCCACTGGCACCAATGGTGGCGCTGGCACTATTCCCCCCCCACTGACACCAACAATGGGACACTTTTCCTCCCACTGGCACCAATGGTGGCGCTGGCACTATTCCCCCCCCCCACTGACACCAACAATGGGACACATTTCCTCCCACTGGCACCAATGGTGGGGCACTATTCCTCCCCATATACCAAAGTTGGGGCATTGTTTACTCCCACTGATGTCAGAACATTTTCTACTTCCTCCGGCCATGCTCCGGCCCTCCTAATGTCTGAAGGACAGTAAATTTAACCCTTTGTTTAGAAAGCTTGGAGACCCCTGATTTAGAGGCTAAACATAAAATACAGAGCAATATAAAAATTACAAGTATTTAATACTGTAATTTTATATACATAAGTTTTGTACATTATATCTAAAAGAGCGAAAGAAAGATCCAAAGAGATGGACTGTTCCATCAGAAGAAGTACAATTAATAGCTGTTTCTAGGTAGCCTGTGGATCATAGTCAAGGGGAGTTTAAAGTGAATTTCTAGTTAAAATTATTTATTTTTCTTTTTGGTGGAGTAGGGAGGTTTGGGTGCACATAATAGGGGAAAAGAAATCTTTCCAAGGTGAGGAGAAGTTGATATAGTTGTCACCAAAACTCCCCATTGGAAGATTTCCCTTACCTCCTGTTGCAGTGTCAATTGTAAAATGTTGGATTTCCCATCACTTTCTATTCTAGCAAAAACAGTCCCAAGAGAAATAAAGAGGTCAGTTTCCCCAGTGGGGACACAAAGAATCATAAAAATATTACAGGGTTTCTGAACGTTCATCTCTCCATCCAATGCTTTTTAAAAAGTTTCATCTAGAGACACACTTTAAGCAGCTCAGCTGAGGGCCCTCCTCTGAGTTTCCAAACTGTGTTTGTACTAGGAATTAGCAGAATTTAGAGGCTTAGGGGTCATGTACACTGCGGCTGATAAGCTGACATTCAGGAGCTGTTCAGTGTCTTTTTCAGCAGCCCCTGAACTCTCCCTAATGTTTTCCTATGTGTCCATGTACATATAGTCGTTTACAGTCGTTTACATACAGTTGAGTTTACAGTCGTTTTTTTAACGCACCAAACTTGCGTTCAGGAGTAGATTTCACCAGCATTTCAAACGCCAAATGCTTGTAAACACAGCTAACCGTGTTTATAAGTGTTTGCGTTTAGAAGCGTATTTTAACTGTTCCATATCCAATTGCTGTCCAGAGCCTTTTTTCATCCTCAGAAATGCATGCAAAGCGTTTTCCATGTATTCAAATGGACCTAACACACCAGCACAGTCAGTTCCAGGTTTCACGTGAAGGATATAATGGTAGAACATGCCGCATTATGCTCATGATGGGATCCATAGTGAATACAACCAGAAGACAGGTCATCTCAACACATACTGCTCTCTCTGCTTCTGCTCTCTCTATTCCTCTCAAAATGTCTGAAATAGTTCATTATTTACTATTTTTCAGTGCATTCTGGCCATTTGGGAAGGTCTCCTGATGTTATCTTTAAAAAAAAACGCTTCTAAACGCAAAAGCGCATAGACACAGTATGCAAACGCTGCTAAACAGATGTTTTTAACCTACGTTTTCCAGCAGTCAGTTTCCATTGTTCAGAAGTGTTTTCCAAATGTCCCGTGTACATGGAGCCTTAGCCTGTCATCCCATATGTACGGTTTTCATGGGTTAATGCATAGCAGACATAGCTTGATTTAGGATGTTTAGTGTAATAGAGGAAAAACACACAGGACATGTGGTGATTTGTCAATGGATAGGAAAAGCAAAATGTAAAATAATATTTGTACAGCAGGCATCTTTTCAGTGGAGGAAGATGAGGTTATAACAGGTAGTGTTAGAATGAGCACAGTGCAGGAAATTCAACAGACACCATTGATAAAGTCCTTCCAGTCTCATGAGCCATGGAGCCGCTTTCTGAATATACAATTACTAAAACGGAGGCAGACTCGTCTGGTTTTCTGTGTATTCCTGGATCAGAGGTTAGATTGAATGTAGACTGTGTTAGTAATTATGAAATAGGAACTGTACATCGTGTTTTTCCTACACGCAGGATGCAACCACTAACAAAATCCATACTATTTTTGGATTCATAGTCTTCTTTCTAAACTGTAGCGGGGGTCAGAAATATTTTTTGTGTGAAATCAACCACGTGTAACAGTGTATAATGCAGTCAGCTTATCTGCCTAATTGGTCTAAGCGTTCCTGGGCCTCGCAAGGGGTAAGAAATTAGGCTGATCATAGCAGGTAGCACAGACATTGTATCTTTTACCTGGAAAAAGCCAGACGTTATGGCGGTGGCCAGTGGCGCTTAGGTCTTGGCTAAATGCAAAGTACTATATAATATCCCTATGCTGGCACAAAAGGGGAGACTTTTCTGAGTTTACCCCATGGTGGACACAGAGGAGCTGATGGCTGCATGTCTCATGAGAAGGAGGCTAGAAGATGCATTTAACTGCTGAAACAGATCCTGCGTGGACTGTGTGCTACTTTTTAAACACTGGTACTGTTGGGACTTTTGTAGTTCTGTATTGGCCAGTGCTTGCTATCATGTGGACCATATCCCCTTGCAGTTCCACATTGCTGTGGACTATTTCTCCTTGTTTTTTCTCTACTCCTCTCAAAGCTTTTGTGGTCCTGAAACTACGGCCAGGACAAATAGCCAATGGCTCCTGCTGCTGCCTCAGCCAATCAGGAGTGAGAGTCCCCTGAGAACTGAGGCTTTTGTGGACATCGTCGGGATTGGGATGGAACTCAGGTAAGTATTGGGGGGGGCTGCTACACACATGTTTTTTACCTTCATGCATACAATGCATGAAGGTAAAAAAACCTTGAGCCTTTACAACCACTTTAACCCTGTTGTGTCCACATCACTGCCATGTGTTCTGGACTGAACCCTTGCTGTGCCATACTCTGCTGTGCCCGGATCACTGCCCTGGGCTGAATGCATGGAGGATTAACCCTTTCTGTATCATTCTACTGTCTGAAGGATCACCCTTACTTGCCATGCCCTATCATTGCCCTGTGGACTGTTCTTATTTCACCATGCCCTCTTTTCTCTTGGAAGATCACTTTCCCTTGCTGTGCCCATTGATACTGTGTGGACTGTTCATTCGTGTTGTCCCCATTGCTACTCCGTGGACTGTTTTTCTGTATTGTTGTTACTGCTACCCCGTGAATTGTTTATTTGTATTGTGCCCATGGCTATGCCATGCACAGATTATCTGTGCCAGATCCCAGCACCACCCCTCCTGTATACCTCATTCTCTCAGTAAATGCCTGCTAGTCAGGCTTGGTGTTAACTGTCTCCGTGTGCTCTCTCTCTGTGCTCCAAGTTTGTCACAAAATCTGTTGTCTCAAAAAGGTATATCCATGCAAGGGCGAGCAAAATATAAATTAAAACACTTAAAAAATTAAAAATAAAATTAAAAAAAAAAAACAAAAATCAAAAAGTGTTCAACAATAATCTAAACAAAGTATGTAAAATAATTCACTGAACTCAAAAATACTGAAACCATATAAATAATAAAAAAAATGTATACATTATTCATGTGATAATTGATACATGAATCATAACATTGTACAAGAAAACAAACCAGGTTAAAAACGGTCACACTGCTCCCCCCGGCTAGTCTGGGGATGTGATGGTGTTCAGTATTGGCGTGCTTGGAACCCTGCTCTTTGGGTTTGTTATATTTTTTTTTTCCTTTCTCTTTGTACGCCTTTCTTTTCTTTTTACCCTGTTTGTTTTTGGTGTGACAGTGGATATCTGCTTTTAGTTTGTTACAGTCAGAGTTATATTAATGTTCTTGTAATTTATGTGCCATTGATAGCCCCTGCGTGGGCGTACCTTTTGCCCTGTTGGTGTTAGAGCACTGTTTTTTCTATTTTTTTTAAATTTTGTATATGTGCAATTGATAGCCCCTGCATGGGCATGTTTTGTTGCCTCTGTTTTGTACTGTTTAAAAAATGAATAAAAACATTGAAATATAAAAACTGTCATACTCTGGGGATGTTTTAGAACACAAACAGTACAAAAAGGTGCACCACAGTTTGGTTCATCCAACTGTATATCACTGCCGTATCAGCGATTTTCCAAAATTATGAACAGTTTCAATATTCAGGTGGCTGTAGAATTTGACTATATCTCTTCTTTTTTGTTTTTTATATTGTATTAATGATAGGGATTTGTAAATTAACAACTAGTGGATGCTCTCATTGGCTCAGTATAATTACTTTGTAATGATGATATAATGCTGGAACATGCTTCTGTTTTAATTCAGGCATGTCTCGATATAAATGAATGTGAAAATGGAAGAAACGGAGGCTGCGTGGCAAACTCCATCTGCATTAACACCATGGTGAGTCTATTCAACAGAATCTCTACAGAGATGCGTTTGCAGGTTTCCCTCACCTGTCATATTTCTGAAAGTTTCTGGATATTCTTTCTGTACCTAATCTTAGCTTGTAAACGCTCATATGAAGAGCATCAGCTTCAGTGAGCGGTCTAAAAAGCTTTGACCAGTTTTCTTTGCTAAAGGACTTAGAGCACTCTTCAGCTCCAGTCCAGCAGTCCTGCATTGGCAGTACCGCTTTTAGCAGATAATAGCTTGAAAGAACTATTCCCAAAGCCCGTTTAAAGGGTATTTCCAATTTTGAAGCCAGACTGTGATAATACCTATTTCTATTTTTTTCTTTTCCCCATTCACATAGTAAAACATAAAAAAATAAAAGTTGCAGCTTGCTTTTTAAATGCTGTTTTCTGGAAGGAAACATTCTACTAACTACATTGTTTCTGTGTACTGTAAGGATATAGCAGCCATTAGAAAACACATGATTAAAGATGATGATCATTCATATTTTTCTTAAAGGGTTCTTTCCGCTGTGGACCATGCAAACCTGGCTTTGTTGGAGACCAGATCAAAGGCTGCACAACAGAGAAGAGCTGCTTCAACCTAGGGAAGAACCCCTGCCACGCCAGTGCACAGTGTATTGAGGAGAAAGGTGGAGAGGTCATCTGCATTGTAAGTATAGACCACATATGCAAACCTGTGCTACAACTGTTTTGTTCCCTGTAGGGGAATTAGCACAACATGGGGGTGAACATTGGTTTTCTACATATAGTATATACTCGAGTATAAGCCGACCCGAATATAAGCCGAGGTACCTAATTTTACCACAAAAAACTGGGAAAAACTATTGACTCGAGTATAAGCCGAGGGTGGGAACACCAGTGGGAAGAATCGTACCTCATCATTGGTGTCAGTGGGAGGAATAGTGCCCCATCATTGGTGTCAGTGGGAGGAATAGTGCCCCATCATTGGTATCAGTGGGAGGAATAGTGCCCCATCATTGGTATCAGTGGGAGGAATAGTGCCCCATCATTGGTATCAGTGGGAGGAATAGTGCCCCATCATTGGTGTCAGTGGGAGGAATAGTGCCCCATCATTGGTATCAGTGGGAGGAATAGTGCCCCATCATTGGTGTCAGTGGGAGGAATAGCGCCCCATCATTGGTGTCAGTGGGAGGAATAGTGCCCCATCATTGGTATCAGTGGCAGGAATAGTGCCCCATCATTAGTATCAGTGGGGGGAATAGCACCCCATTATTGGTGTCAGTGGAATAGTGCCCCATCTTTGGTGTCAGTGGGAGGAATAGTGTCCCATCATTGGTGTCAGTGGGAGGAATAGTATCCCATCATTGGTGTCAGTGGGGGGGTGGAGGAATAGTGCCCCATCGTTGGTGTCAGTGGGGGGGAGGAAAAGTGCCCCATCGTTGGTGTCAGTGGGGGGGAGGAATAGTATCCCATGATTGGTGTCAGTGGGGGGTGGAATAGTGCTCCATGATTGGTGTCAGTGGGGGGTGGAGAAGTGCCCCATCATTGGTGTCAGTGGGGGGGGGAGGAATAGTGCCCAATCGTTGGTGTCAGTGGGGGGGAGGAAAAGTGCCCCATCTTTGGTGTCAGTGGGAGGAATAATGCCCCATCATTGGTATCAGTGACACCAACGATGGGGCACTATTCCTCCCACTGACACTTGCTGACCCCTGTTCCAGTATGGTGCTGCTGCAGCCAGCATATGTGGTTGCAGCAGCACCTAAGCACGGCACACTTACCTGCATCTCCTTCACTCGATTTTCGCGGGGCCACTCAGCTCCGCCTCCTCGCCGGTGATTGGCCGCCTGTGTGCCTTTCCTGAGCTACAGTTCTGGCGGCCAACCACCGGTGAGAATGCGGAGCCGAGCAGCCGCACGAACATCCAGTGGACGAACCGAATGAAGGAGCAGCCGCGCTTCCTGGACCGGATCGTCGTGGGACCGGAGCCAGGTAAGAGACAGCAGCCCCCTGCAGACGTTGACTCGAGTATAAGCCGAGGGGGCCGTTTTTCAGCACAAAAAATGTGCTGAAAAACTCGGCTTATACTCGAGTATATACGGTAACTGAAAATTTTGATGTTTATTATGTAAAATAATAATAGTACTGATAATAAAAATAATAATAACAATACTCATGGGCAGCACAGTGACTTGGTTAGCACATCTGCCTTGCAGCACTGGGGTTATCAGTTCGAATAACAACCATGACACTACCTGCATGGAGTTTACATATTCTATCTGTTCTTGCATGGGTTTTCTGCAGATACTCCGGTTTCTTCCCACACTCCAAAAACATCCTGGTAGGTTAACAAGCTCTTGTCTAAATGGGCCCTAGTAAGTTTATGTATGTATAGGGAGTAGGAACCTAAATATGTAATAAATACAAATTTTATTGTAGCCATAATGTGACATGTGCGCTATATGTAAATCAATAAATCAGTTAGGTGATTGGATAATGTTCTGCTTTGCCTTTATTGCAGTGTTCAGTTGGATGGGCAGGTAATGGCTATTTTTGTGCACGAGACACTGATATTGATGGGTATCCAGATGAGGCTCTTCTCTGCTCAGAGTCAAGCTGCAAGAAGGTAAGTATGTGGATGAATGACCAAAGTACTAAATAACCCTACATTATATACACTACTACTTTCACCTTTACAAATATTAACTTCACTTGAGGTTACAGAATAGTTTAATGTTCAGAATTTTTAATTAAGCCCTTTGATGAAAAACTGGAAAATCATAACAGTATTTCTCAACTATGAAATATACTCACCAGCCACTTTATTAAGTACGAATGAGGAAAGACAAAACAGAGGGCACACAGGCCTAGTGCATTACCATAAAAAATGTTTAATAAAAAATAAAGTAGGTGTTGTACTCACAAACGACAATATAGTCAAGGCACATCATAAAGAACAGCTGGGTCAACACCGCGCTGAGTAACAGTCCGTAATAGGGAGTTTAGACATCCAAAAGGCTGACGCGTTTGAGGACTTGCCTCTTCCTCAGAGCCACACTTTATTAAGTACACCTTGCTAGTACCGGGTTGGACCCTTTTTGCCTTCAGAACTGCCTTAATTCTTCGCGGCATAGATTTAACAAGGTGTTGGAAACATTGCTCAGAGATTTGGGTCCATATTGACACTGTTACTGTTGCCTTTTTATCATCTCGAACCAGTCTGCCCATTCTCCTCTGATCTCCCATATCAACACATATGTCGCTAACTGGATATTTTCTCTTTTTCGGACCATTCTCTGTAAATCTCAGAGATGGTTGTGCATGAACATCCCATTAGATCAGCAGTTCTCAAACCAGCCCGTCTGGCACCAACAACCATGCCACATTCAAAGTCACTTAAATCCCCTTCCTTCCCCATTCTTATGCTTGATTTGAATTTCAGCAAGTTGTCCTCACTACGTCTAGATGCCTAAATGCATTGAGTTGCTGCCATGTGATTGGCTGATTAGCATTTTGTGTTAACAAGCAATTGAACAGATGTACCTAATAAAGTGGCTGATGAGTGTATACTCTCATAATATAAGGAACTATGCAGAATGTAAAATGATCTTGATACTTGGCGTTAGATAAACATTTTGATTAATATGAAATGTAAAATGCTCACAGCAGAGAAACATATGGAGAAAAATAAGTGAAATAGTAAAGAAGAGTAAAGTAATGTGAGTTAGAATTACAGAGTGTGCATAAACCATGATCAGGAAAGGGTCAGTGTAATCCTGTGGTTGCACAATCCCTAAGCTGGCCATATATGGATTGAAATTCAACCATTCAATCTATTGGTCAACTTTTCATGAATATTGGTAAATTTTTGCTCGATCAGTGCAAGCAGCCAAATGGCTGCAGCGCTGATCAGCGTATTCTGACAGTGGGGGAGTCCCACTGTCAGAATACAATAGCACATCAAATGTGTGGATGAAGAATCAGGTCAGTTTTTTCATTCAATTGGTTGGCTGAACAGAAAAAAATTGAACCATATATTGCCAATTTTAGGCTGTAGTATTCACAGGTGATTTTGCAGAAATGAGGGTTTTTGCGTGTTTTTTCATTCGTATTCAGGCCTGAATGTTTTTGTTTTAGCCAATAGAAATCTTGTTACTAAGAGAAAGAAAATGTTGTTTGAGCTTAAAATATGCTACTTTTCCAATGTTTTTCAGATGTTTTTCAGGTGCTCCCTTTGAAGTATATTGGGTCAAAAAACTGCCCATTATGCTTCAAAAGTAGCTCCTACCTTTTAAAGCACGTTGCCAAACTACAAGTCCCATGAAACATTGCAAGACTGACAGTTACAAGCGTGGCTCCCAAAGGCAGAGGCATGATGGGACTTGTAGTTTCACAACAGCTGGATGGCCACCAGTTTGACACCCCTCTTTTAAAGCTTCAGCCGTTGAGCTGCAGACACCTGAGCACTGATACATGAACAGGCACAATTTAAAAGCATGGGATTTTGGTTGTTGAGAATTTTGGAGCTTTGAGCTTCAAGCTACAGAATGCTCAGGTGTGAATTGGGACTTGGCAGGTAAGCAAAGTGTTTAGGCTTGTAGAGAATGATTTCATCTTCCTTGGTTTGTTTTCCAGTAGAGGTGATCCTTATATTTGTAAAATGTACATATTCACTTGAGATAATGTAATATTATTTTCCCAAATAGGACAACTGCATCTTTGTACCAAATTCAGGACAGGAAGACACTGACAAGGATGGTATTGGGAATTCCTGTGATGATGATGCAGATGGAGATGGTATTATGAATGAGCAGGTGAGAAGGATCTGGTTAGGGTGAGGGTGAGGTTGAGGCCTCTTTCACACGGGGCAGACCCATCAGTGGATCTGCTTGCTCAACAGGGGATCTCTTCGCTGATCCCCACTGAGCAAGCGGATGACAGGTCCATGACCGCTCCACTGCTGCAGAGCGAACACAGATATAGCCTGCTGTCCTCTATGGGCGGTTGGATAGAAACGGACCGTCTGTCCTTTTCCATCCGACTGCCATCCGATCTAATCTGATGGACGGAAGGATCCCCATCCATCTCTTTTTGGCAGATCGGATCGGATTGGATGCCAGCGGGAGTAAACAGACACATGTCCGTTTACACCCGCCATTGCATAGAGGAGAATAGAGGTTCCAATCGGGTCTGCCTGAAAAACGGGCAGGCGGCCCCGATTTGAACGTCCATGTGAAAGGGGCCTTACTCCAGGTATTATTTTTGCCCTTCCTGTTGCTTTCCCATCTAACAGTTGCTATACATAGCGAGTGTTGTAAGCATTATATTGCTCCTTCCCTCATATCATAGCTCTCTAGTAATCTAGTAGGCTTTAATTCCATTCACCTTCTTTCATCCCTCCTTTCCCTATTGTCTGGAATATTTTTAATCTGTTGGCTGATCTCAGCTAAAATAGAAAAAAAAAAAATATTTCCAGCCAATTGTAAAAAAGACAGTTGATTTGTTTATCAAGGGAGACTGTGAGTCACACTTCTGAAGCTAAAATTGATTTTCCAAACCTTAGTGCAACCTATTTACATGACACATACAGCTGTGTAACTGCAAAGTATTCTATAATAATAATTGCTTTTACTGAACATATTTGTAGCAGATAAATCCCTTTGCTAATGTAACCTCAGAGTAAGAAAAGGTTTAATATTGTAAGGAAAGTAAATACTCTGGCTTTCCATATATCAACAATCAATGACAAGAATATTTAAATCAAGCTGCTTTCCCTCCTATGTCTAGGCATGTAAAAACTACAGCTTCCCATTAATTCCACTTTACCGTATGTCATACTGATGTTTCGTTATTAGAACAATTTGTTTCACAATGTTTTCCTATATTTTTTTAACAGGACAATTGTGTGTTGGTTGTAAATATCAATCAGAAAAACAGCGACCAGGATATTTTTGGGGACGCCTGTGACAATTGCCGTTTCAAACTGAACAATGACCAGAGGGACACTGACAATGATGGAGAGGGCGATGCTTGTGATGATGACATGGATGGGGATGGTGAGTAGACAGAAAGAGTTCCCTCACACATTCATATCATCTGTCATCATGATGACTATGAAGATCATAAATGAAATTTAAATTAGAGGGGTTAATAAAAGAAAAATTAAAATGGATATATTTTTGATTATTTGATATTTTGATTTATTATGCAGAAAAATAGAGAAATGTGAATGATGTAATCAATTAAGTGCCCATAGAAATATATACAGCAAACTCAACCTTTACCATTTGTATGAATTTTGTAGATTTTCACCATAGGATAACAATATCCAGGGGCGGACTGACCATTTGGAAACTCGGGCACTGCCTGAGGGCCCGGGGTCAGTAGGGGGCCCCATGAGATGCCCCTGGTACCTTTTTCATAGGCTTTTTTGAGTTTGGGCAAGGACACAGGGGCCCCATGATCCCCTATTGCCCCATGAGTTGTCAGTCCGCCCCTGACAATATCTACCTGTGTTAAAGGAGAAAAGAAAAAGTACAATAACTATGATTTGTTCAGTTTAATCTCACATTTTTGATGGCTAGAGCCAGGAAGAGTATGTTCACATGGGTTCATGCCGTTCCATTTGCAGGGTGTCTGTGAGCAGATGCCCTGATGAATCAGAGCAGACAGAACAGGTCGGATGTCGGCTATGTGACATCTGTGCCCGTTTAGTTTTGTGTTCACATTTTGACAGTGGACTGTGGTGGACCTGTGTTGGATCTATGGGCTGCTGGGTCCAGAAAACTGGGAAAAAAAGGCAGTCCTTTTTTGTTTTTTTTCTGTACCTGGATGGACTCAGAGGGAGGTGGATGTAAACAGACACAAGTCCAAGACCTGCATGGAACTTCCAGTCTGGTCCTCCTGAAAAACTAACAGATGGACCTAATCGTAAAGCCCATGTGAACGGGGTTTTACAGGTTCGTTTTATCAACTCCTGTACCAAAGAAAATGGCTTAGCTGCTCCTAACAGCTGCAGCTACATTGTGTCGAGCACAGACACCAATTCTCACTGCAGATGCACCTCATATATGTGAACATCCACAATAGAAACAAATGGTTTTTTACGTGTCATGTAAATTAGATGTGGTTCAAAACGCATCCAATTTGCATATATGTGAACCGGGTCTAACACTTGTTTCAGCTAATCAGTGAAGCAACTGGCAGCAGCTCTGCTACACAGATCTAATCTCAGTTATTATCAAACTGGCAACATGGCCATGTGATTAAATATGTTGCTTGTATTACCCTCAACATAAATACTTCTGTACATTTTAATAACAAAATAGTTTATTCTCTGAGTTAATAGACAGTAGGAAATGTAAAAAAATAAAATGTGTAAAATGTTGGTTACCTTGTAAGTCAGTGCTAAGTAACTGCAGAGTTTCCAAACATCAATTATAACCATCCGTCTGTTTTTTTTAAGCAATATTTTCCCACTCTTTCTTGACTAACACTTTCACAAATATTCTTAGGGTCTCTTGCAGGCACTGCATATGTTTGACAAATAATTGATGAAAGTTACATTTAGTGAATAAACAGTAATTGTGCATTCTAATTAACAGAATTATGTCATAATTAGCTTTGTTCCCTCCAGAGGTTGTGTTAACACCTTATTAGTGTATGACCTTTAACCAGGGTCCATAACTTTTAAATTCAACAATGTATATCAGCAGGATCCACGTTTCATTGTTGACCAGATTCTTGTGTATTGAAGGTATCAAAAACTTCCTGGACAACTGTCAGCGGGTTCCCAATGTGGATCAGAAGGATAAGGATGGAGATGGAGTGGGTGATGCATGTGACAGCTGCCCTGACATTATTAATCCAAACCAGGTTAGTAAAATGTGACCCAAAATTTGGTAACAAGACCTTTCATTACAGATGGTGGTGCTCCAAATACTGTGATAAACCTTGCAGGAGTTCCAAAACCTGCAGCACTCTATTAAGCATATTTTTACTTCAGTTTTTTTAGGTTACACTTGTTCCTGTCCTCTCTCACTCTTGGTTTCAAAGCTACCCTTTAGAGTTCTAGACCATTGGTCCTCAACCACTGGGCCATGAATTCCCCTCTCTCTCCCCTCCAGCCAGCTGAAGATTTGTTAACCTTCCACAGTGCCTCCCAGCTATCATAGTGCCCCCCCCCCCAACCTCCCATATTGACCCACGGTGCCCCCAGGTCCCCTGAGAGTCCTCAGCCTCCCCCCCCCCATATAAAAAGAACAGAGGACATCTCCCATAGCGTAAAAAGGTTTTCCCTGATGAAGCCACGTGGTTGGTGGCGTAACGTGCGGGGGCGGAGCCTAGTGACGTCATTGCCAGCTTTTTACAGAGCGGGAGTTTTGAATTGTAGATCACTATTTTACTGCTTCTATCATGTGAGTGACACTCTGGAATTATTTTATGTGGAATTAAAAAAGTATTACAGTATGGGACAGGGGTGGCTAACCTGTGGCTCTCCAGCTGTTGTGGAACTACATTTCCCATGAGGCATTGCAAAGATGGGAAGTTACTGACTTGCAGAGGCATGATGGAACTTGTAGTCCTGCAGCAGCTGGAGAGCCGCAGGTTGGCCACCCCTGGGGGAGATGTCCTCTGTTCTTTTTATATGTGGAGTTAGGCTGAGACGAGTCCCGTTTTATAGGGTCATTGAAGGGGTGCCTGTCATCAGCTCTCTGCTGCCATCTAGAGCATCATTTTGGAATTACCATGCTTGGTTGACCTGTATTAATTTATAGGTCCACAGTAGGAGGTGAGCGGCCATCCATATATATTTCTAGGTGGGGGAACATTGAGTTAAGGTGGAGCACCGTGTTTTTCAAATAGACTTTATTTATTCAGAGCACATCGTAGTGATTCTTCACCATTCAAGCACCTTATTTGATTTTCACCATTCAAGCACTTTATATGTATATTTAGATTTCATATTTTGATTGAACTATCACAATTGAATCTGTTTATGGACTATTATGTCTATATGAGTTAGCGCAACACTATTTACACTTTGCACATGCTCACCAAAATTGGACAATAGAAGATTGGAAAAACGTTGCCTGATCTGATGAGTCTCGATTTCAGCTGCAACATTCAGGAGGTAGGGTCAGAATTTGGTGTAAACAACATGAAAGCATGGATCCATCCTGGCTTGTATCAATGTTCATGGATGTGCAGCAGACAAATCTGCAGCAATTGCGTGATGCTATCATGTCAATATGGACCCAAATCTCTGAAGAATGTTTCCAACACCTTGTTGAATCTCTGCCATGAAGAATTAAGGCAGTTCTGAAGGCAAAAGAGGATCCAACCCAGAACTAGCAAGGTCTACCTAATAAAGTGGCCGGTGAGTGTATGTGCTCCTAGGCTGCTTTCCACTAACAAAAGGAAGATCTCTTCTTTATAAAGAAAGCCACATACATATTCCACATAATAAAGGTCATATCCATAACTGAAAATATACTGAAGCTACAGTATATGGGCAATGGGCTTACTTTGGTCTCAAGGTTGTTTAAGTAAAAAAATATGATTCTTAAAGGTGTAATCTCCTTTCTCTTATTCCTATAGTCAGACATTGATAATGACCTGGTGGGAGATTCCTGTGACACCAACCAAGACAGGTATGTTGATTTGCTAACTGATAGTACAAAAACCACTCAAAATTAGTGTTTATTTCTAACAAGGGCTCTGGCATTTTTTAAAAGGGAGCTAGCAAACTGACCGGGATTGATTGCCCTACAGAGCTAAGAGCTAGCAATCAGTATTAAAGTACAGTTTCCTAACTGACCGAGTCTCTCCCTATGCAGTTTGTTGGCTTTCCCTGACCGTTCCCTACAAAAACTTTCAATACAATGACACTATGGCTACTTTGTGCCTCCCTCCCACTTCCTCTTTTATAGTGAGGGGGCTTGCACAAAACAAAGCCCCCATTATTGTCCTTTCTAAGCCAGTTGACCTATTTTGAATGCTTTTGCAGTGCATTATGATTGCCAGGAAAATTCTCAATTTGGGGGGAGTCTGTGAACTGTGAACAGGCAGAGCTGGTAGACTGGAGCCTGAACCTCATCCCCATTGCTGTCACCATTTAAAAGAAAAAGGGCTTATGAAAAAAGCAATTGCAGCCAGCAGCAATGATATGTATTATTTATTACAGACATTTATATAGCATCATCAATCTATGCAGTGCTTTCCATTTATATTGTACATTCACATCATATACTTGTCAACCTGCAAATTGCCACTTTCATATTCTAGGAATTCTGGGAGGTTTAAAAAAGTGAAATATGAGTTTGTACCAATCCATTTGCAGATGTCATTTTCCTACATTAGAGAAAAATGCAGCACTTGATTGCTATGATAGACTTCATTCATCCAGTTTGCATACAGCTATAGCTCAAAGTGCTGTTGCGTCCAGTGGCGGTGTTTATCCATCTCTGAATGTACCCACCTATCTGCCCTCTTCCCCCAGTCTGAATGAGGCCCTAGATAAGATTCCTGTGGGAGTTCTATTTGTCCAACATTTCACTAGGGAGTGAGTGCATTTCTAGTAACAGCCGCTAGGTGGCAGCATATCACATGAAGAATCAACTCTTTGTAGAAACTACTTGTATGACTTCTGCTGAAAGTATTTGTTTACTGCCTGTCATACTCATCCAAAAACAGTCATTTCTAAGGCACTGCGCTGGATAATGCATGCAAATTTTGGGTTCAGTCTTTGGCTATCCTGATCTGCATTGGTGTTCCAGCTCAGTATCACAATATTGATGGCAGACACACCCGAGTAACTAGCATTTTCAAAAGTTATTTGCTATATTTCCTATGGAACATTCGGTGTGGGCACCTCTGAAGAACATCCATGAACAGTCATATGATACCTGTCACTGCTGACTTATATACAGATACATACCCCAAGGTAGTCAATCTGATCCTGACTTTACTACCTAGACAGTCACTGAGTGGAACAAGTATGCAGCCAGTGAAGTCTGAAAAGCATGCTTATTTCAGGTAAGCCAATGGCTGGGTAGTGAAGCCTCGTCTAGGAGGAACACCCTGGAGCAAGCATCTTAAGAAAGTTAGCAATTAAAAAATACATTGTCAAAAGTTCTAACTCTACCCCATTTTCCTAAAAATTGTTTTAGCCTATGCCCTGTTGTTCTAATTTCCCATTGTTTCCTGTCCTGATAGTAAGTGAAGGGAAATGTCATTAAAGGCCTAGCTTGCAGTAAAACCTGACAAAGGCTCTAACTCTTATCCTCTCTCTCCAAAATGAATGAAAAGTTTTGGCCAGAGATATACTTAGCCATCCAGTTTGATTTTTGTGGTGGGTAGTGTGCAGCAGGCCCCGTGAACATATATTCTTGTAATCCATTGGCCGGCCTTTTGTGAGTTCCAACATGCTGAAAGAAGAATTCCATGTATGGATGTTTTATACATAGTTACATTGGTCCAGCTTGAACCAATGTAACTATGCAATATACCATACCTGGCTGATGCCTCTTGAAGCTGAAAATGACTGAAGCAGACACTGACACTCTCCACTTACTGCCGGGTTTCGGCCACTCTTCACTTCAACCAATTCGAAATCTCTTTGCTAACCGCCAAAGCTAATGGCCACTACTCAGTGCTCCTACTCCTCGACCTCTCCGCGGCTTTCAACACAGTCGACCACACCCCTCCTCCTCAAAAAACTACACTCCCTCGGCCTCAGAGATTCCGCTCTCTCCTGGCTCTCGTCCTGCCTATCACAACGCTCCTTCAGCGTTACCTATAACGCTGCCACCTCCCCCTCACTCCCCCTCTCTGTTGGGGTCCCTCAAGGCTCTGTCCACGGGCCCCTTTTCTTCTCCATCTACACCTCCTCCCTTGGCCAACTGATACAGTCTCACGGCTTCAACTACCACCTCTATGCCGACGACACGCAAATCTATCTCTCTACCCCTCGCCTCACCCCTTCACCCACCTCTCCAAAACCGAGCTCCTAGTTTTCCCCCCAGCCCGCGCACCCCCCACTGACTTCTCCATCATGTCCAACAATGCCACCATCAGTCCCACCCCGCAAGCCAGAGTACTTGGTGTCATTCTAGACTCCAATCTGTCCTTCCAGCCCCAAGTCCAATCGCTAAGAAACTCATGCAGACTCCACCTCCGCAACATTTTCAAAATACGCCCATTCCTAACCCCAGAAATTACTAAGCAACTCATCCACTCCCTCATCATATCACGACTCAATTACTGCAACTCCCTCCTCACTGGCCTGCCTCACCACAGGCTATCCCCGCTTCAGTCGATCCTGAATATGGCAGCCAGACTCATCCACCTCACCAACCGCTCCGTTTCCGCCACCCCCCTCTGCCAATCCCTCCACTGGCTTCCGATTGCCCAACGGATCAACTTCAAAATGCTAACACTGACGTACAAAGCTGTCCATAACTCTGCCCCAAACTACATCACCGACCTAATATCCAAATACCACCCAAAACGCACTCTCCGCTCCTCACAAGACCTCCTTCTCTCTAGTTCCCTGGTCTCCTCATCCCATGCCCGCCTCCAGGACTTCTCCAGGGCATCACCCATCCTCTGGAACTCCTTACCCCAATCCATCAGACTATCACCTACTCTCCTCTCCTTTAGGCGCACCCTGAAAACCCACCTCTTCAGGGAAGCCTACCCTGCCTTCTGCTAATTGCCGATCTCCTCCACTCTTCCTACCACTCCATCCCCCACAGCTTTTCCTCCCGTACCACTATCCCCTCCCTCCTAGATTGTAAGCTCCAAGGAACAGGGCCCTCGAACCCCTCGTGTATCGCATTGTATTGTTATTGTACTGTCTCATGTATTGTCTCCCATTGTAATGTACAGCGCTGAGCGAACTGTTGGCACTATATAAATACTGAAGAATAATAATAATAATAAATTCATTCAGAATATGCAAAGCATTCTCTGAATGGTGCCCATGCCGAGCGACTGACCTCTTGTATTCACAATGCATCAGGCCAGTCGCTCAGCACAGGATCCAGAAGCAAGTGGAGATTACTGGAATAGCAGTGTCTACTTCAGTAATTTCTAGCTCCAAGAGCATTGGCCAGGTATGATACAATCACCAGGCACTTTATTAGGTACACCTGTTCAGTTGCTTGGTACCACAAATTGCTAATCAGCCAATCACATGGCAGCAGTTCAATGCATTTAGGCATTTAGATGTGGTGAAGACGACTTGTTGAAGTACAAACTGAGCATCAGATTGGGGAAGAAAGGGGATTTAAGTGACTTTTAACGTGGCATGGTTGTTGGTGCCAGACGGGCTGGTCTGAGTATTTAAAAAAGTGCTGATCTACTGGGATTTTCACGCTCAACCATCTGTAGGATTTACAGAGAATGGTCTGAAAAAAGAATAAATATCCAGTGAGCTGCAGTTGTGTGGACGAAAATGCCTTGTTGATGTCAGAGGTCAGAGGAGAATGGTCAGACTGGTTTGAGATGATAGAAAGGCAACAGTAATTCAAATAGCCACTCGTTATAACCAAGCCATGCAGAATACCATCTCTTGAATCAACAGTTCAGGCTGGTGGTGGTGGTGTAATGGTGTGGGGGATATTTTCTTGGCACTGTCAAGGTGTACCTAATAAATTGGCGCTATGTGTATATACAGTTCATAGTTACATTGGTCCAAGCTGGTCCAATGTAGCTATGTAAAAATAAACTAAATCTGGAATATTTCTTTAAGGAAGAGATCATTAGTTATTCTGATAGACCCAATGATTTTGTTTTACTATATCAGTGATGGCGATGGTCACCAGGACAGCACAGACAACTGTCCCACAGTCATCAACAGCTCCCAGCTGGACACGGACAAGGATGGACAAGGGGATGAGTGTGACGATGATGATGATAATGATGGAATACCAGACATCATTCCTCCAGGACCCGACAACTGTAGACTGGTGCCCAATCCAGGCCAGGAAGATGACAACAGTAAGAAGAGTGGCTTTATTTCATCCAGTTGCCTAGGAGAAACTATACCATTTTATTGTCCATTCTCCAGCAGTAATACTGGATTGCTTTAAAAAAGGCCTGGATTCTTTCTTGGATACACAGAATAGGTAAAGTTAAAGTTGATCCAGGGAATATCCGATTGCCTCTCGGGGGATCAGGAAGGAGTTTTTTCCCCTGCAGGAGCAAATTGGATCATGCCTTGCTGGGGTTTTTTTGCCTTCTTCTGGATCAACTGTGAATGTAGAATTATAAAATTTATTTATTTTTAATTTATTTATGGTTGAACTGGATAGACTTTTGTCTTTTTTTTCAGCCAGACTAACTATGTAACTATGTAATACTCATCTATCATTTAGTTTTATGCATATACCTCATGGATAACACATATTCATTAACAGAAAAACAAGCAACAAAAAGATGCAGAAATGCATAAGTATGACGAAACCACATTTTACTGCATGTTCATGGGTGTGAAATGTCTCTAGAGAGACATAGGGGTTTATTTACTAAAGCTGGAGAGTGCAAAATCTGATGCACTTCAGCATAGAAACCAATCAGCTTCCAGGTTTTATTGCCTGAGCTTAATTGAACAAGCTGAAGTTACCATGCACAGCTGCACCATATTCTGAGTGCACCAGTTTTAGTAAATCCACCCCACTGTCACATGGTAAGGTGAATATATTGGGCTCGAGGATGCTCTTTCCAGAGACAGGGTCACTTTGTTCTGCATGGTCAGAAGAGAGCCCAGCTCTTTCAGTCTAGCAGCTGCCCTGTTTACCTGGGGCTGGAAACAGCCCTGGCCTATGTTTTCCAGCACTTTCAAAGCCCTGGCTTTGTTTTCCAGTATTTTGGGCGGCATAGTGGCTTAGTGGTTAGCATGTATGCCTATGTTCATGCAGATTTCTTTCCACACTCAAAAGACGTTCTGGTAGGTTAATTGGCCTTAGCATGTGTGTACAAGTTGGCTATGCACATGTGATATCAAGGTCTACATGCCAGTCCCAAGCTGAGCAGCTGAGGAAAGACCTCTCATAAAAAATTCTGTGGAGAATTGCTTATGGTGCCCATAGAATTGACAAGAATCAGATGAATGAATGTATATATACACACATTTTTACCTGTTACCAGTCTCCATGTTTAGTATGTTCCTTCTCATGCTCTGTGCCCAGGTGATGGTGTTGGAGACATCTGCGAGTCAGATTTTGACCAGGACACGGTCATCGATCGTATTGACGTCTGTCCAGAAAATGCTGAGATCACCCTGACTGACTTTAGAGCTTATCAGACTGTTGTTCTGGACCCCGAGGGTGACGCTCAGATCGACCCCAACTGGATTGTTTTGAATCAGGTGAAGTCTATGAGTTTAGGTGTAATTCCATATTCATGCTGTGCAGATAGAGATGACACCATCCAACAGAGCATGACTCTTTATCATGATGTAATTTAAAGCGGAGTTCCACCCAAAAGGGGAAGTTCCACTTTAAAGATTGGTCCCCCACTCCCCATTAAAGATTGGAAGCTTTGGGGAGCGGGGGAGGAACGGGTACCCTAATTTGACAGGTACCCGCTCCCACTTCCGCTGCGATCGCCTAGGCGATCGGAAATGAAAGTTGTCCTCCTACCCTCCCTCCCCGAAGTCTTGTGGGACATATGACAGGTCCCAGAAGACGACAGGGCCATTCAGGAAGCGCAGCACTACTCACGCATGCGCAGTGGACACCCAGCTGTGAAGCCGCAAGCTGTCACAGCCGGGTGCCCACACTGAAGATGCCGGCCTCCTAGAATACAGGATGGCCGGTGAAACGGGCTGCGGCGGATGCAACGCGGGATCGTGGGACAGGTGAGTCTCTGTTTTTTAAAAGTCGGCAGCTACAGTTTTTGTAGCTGCTGACTTTTATTTTTTTACAGAGTGAGTGGAACTCCGCTTTAACCCACATTATATAGAAACCGTAAAGGTAAAGCATATAAAAATTATAGCTATGGCTACAGATAAACCAAAGCAAAACATGAACACCGTACATTGGTATTATTTATTTATTTATTTATTTTTATTTATTTATCGAGTTTATATAGCGCCAAAGGGTTTGCTCAGCGCTGTACAATAGAGGGGGGACAATACATGAAACAGTACAGTAACATCAAACAGCACACAAGGGGTAAGAGGGCCCTACTCTTTCGAGCTTACAATCTAGGAGGGAGGGGGTAGAGGTACAGGAGGAAACGGCTGTGTGGGGGGATGGAGTGGTAGGAGGAGGGAAGGGCAGCGGCTGTTAGGTGAGGGTGGGGTAGGCTTCCCTGAAGAGGTGGGTTTTCAGGGAGCGCCTGAAGGTGAGGAGGGAAGGTGACAGTCTGATGGATTGGGGTAGTGAGTTCCAGAGGATGGGGGAGGATCATACATGGTATCATACAATTGTGTTTTGTTGTACAAAGATGTAAGGAATGAAGAGAATGAGATTATGTTTTCTTTAAAATATGTTTTATTTATTTAAAGTAAACATGCCACAAACCTGCCAAAACTCAAGCAGAACATAAAAAGATAGTATACGTAAGCGGTGGTTACTTCCAGAGAAAGCCACAGGTCAGGTGATCCTGAAATATAGGCAGCTGAAGTTATATGCAGATCTTGTCTGTTTCTACAAATTTTGAGCTTAATTCTGCCCGTTCTCACTCACTCATTGGTCACTCAAGCCACCCTTTACATTAAAGAGCCAATTTATAAAGTTTGTGTGAGGGGATGGGAGCAACCTGGATTTTTAGAGAAAAAGCTGAGAATTTCACGTGACTTCAGCTGCCGTGTCTAGGAATTTGTTGACCAATTGAAGGTGTAGTTTTCACTGAAGCTAACCTCTGCATTTTATTCACTAATTATTCAGTTTGATCTGCTGAGGTTTGTGGCTAGGTTAGCCCTGATTCACACCTAACACGGCTTTGAAATCATGCTACTTCAAACCCGCCGATCAGGGCGATGTCTTGTGTGGGTTCCTGACATATGTGCAAATTCATGAAATTGAACTTGCAAAAAATAGTGCAGGAACCTTTCTCAAAGTCGGTATGACTCAGAGTCGCACTGATTTGAACAGTTCCATAGCCACAAATAGTGTGCGACTTGTCATGTGACTTTGACCTGTCAAGTGGCATTGCAAGTCGCACCGGTGTAATTCAGGGCACTTATGTTGTAATCACAAAACTTCTAAAATGATCAAATTGGAGGATTGTGGTACTGAGTAAAAAATTTCTGCTGGGTCCATAGAAATATGAATGTCATTTCTGACCCAGATTAATGCTCCCTTTACCCTTCCTAGTAACAGTGGAAACATTATGATAATGGTGTGTTTTTAAAAAGTTTTACACTTGCAAACCTGTCTGCCACCACCCAACCGACCAACTTTATGGGATGATGTATTTGCTGCACTACAGGTGCTCTTTAAAGGCTGTGCCTCTGTAACAATATAACACAATAGCTCATGCTGCAGCATAGTAATTATTTCTACAGCAATCTGCCGGAGGTGTTGGAATCATTGTGTTGTATGTATAGCATGTGTTCAATTCATCTAAAGTTACTTGCCAAATACTCATGTCTGGATAAATCATTACATTTCCAGGAAGTACGGAGCTCCATCCACTTCCCTGGATTAATGGCAATCTAATGATCTACTTTGGCTATACTGTATATGGTATTTGTTTAGATGTCTGTGTAGTGGGTTTCTGTGTGTACTGCAGGTATTATTTTCAATGGATGCATATATATGTATGTAAAATATAATGGCAGAACAACAAAATATACATAGCTCCCATTTTTTTAATTGGAAATCCCCTAACCTAAATCACAAGATTTTTTCTTGCTGACATTCTTCTTTATTACTTTCAGGGTATGGAGATTGTGCAGACCATGAACAGTGACCCTGGACTGGCTGTTGGTATGTCTGTTTAATCCTCTCCTAATCAGGGAGGCTAGAAATATTACTGCTATTACTGGGATAAGCAGCACAATCAAAGTGAAGGTTACATATAAAAAAAATAATGTAAATATGTTATTTATTCATTGCAGTCAATTGAGCACAAGCTGTACTCCATAGGAAGCATGGTTTACAGATTTTGCAGTGGGAACAAGCTCAAAACAACTGTAATAAAGTTGGACAATTGATACTATATTGAGGCTGTATCTGTGCTAGAAACTAGAGGCTGTGGATGCACAGATTGTAACTAGATGGACTCCAGTATGTCTAAAGTGTCAGGCCTCCCATAATGGGTATTTTATAGGTTATAATATTGGGATTATGTGAAGACCCTGATGGACTGAGTTTACCATGAATGATAGATAGATAGATAGATAGATAGATAGATAGATAGATAGATAGATAGATAGATAGATAGATAGCTGGATCTATATAATTTATAACCATATTCCTGTCCAAATGGGAGTATTGGGTGTTCCTTCCCACTTTACATGGTCTGGTTTTTTTTATTACACCATAATAAAATATATAAAAATACACACAAAAGAGTGGAAAACTCTCATAACACATACTGTAGATGCCAGTTGTCCTGGAATTGCCAGAACAGTTCCACATCTTGGGCCTCCGTTTCAGTGATGCTGTGTCCTGGGCCATGTCCTGAGATCACAGCGTCAACCGTATTTGAGTTACTGCTCATGATGTCGCTGACTGTATATTTGTTTCAGGTTAGTGAAGCGCTGAAGCCAGAGGATAACTATAGCCCATTTTAGAGGTTTTAAAACAAGCTTCTAATTGATTCTTTCATATTTTTTACATCAGGTTCCTTTCTGGGGTGAAGTACTTTATATATGGTGGTTGGCAGTGTTTCAATCTGGGTTCACTGAGGCCCCATCCCATGATCTCAAGGGCCTCCCATTCTGAACTGACACATTTACCTACACTATATTTCCAAAAGTATTGGGACACCTGCCTTTGAATGCACATGAACTTTAATGGCGTCCCAGTCTTCAATACTGAGCTGGCCCACCCTTTGCAGCTATAACAGCTTCTACTCTTCTGGGAAGGCTGTCCACAAGGTTGAGGAGTGTGTCTATGGGAAGGTTTGACCATTCTTCCAAAAGTGCATTTGTGAGGTCAGGCACCGATGTCAAACGAGAAGGACTGACTCGCAGTCTCCGCTCTAATTCATCCCAAAGGTGTTCTATCGGGTTGAGGTCAGGACTCTGTGCAGGCCAGTCAAGTTCCTCCACCCCAAACTCACTCATCCATGTCTTTATGGACCTTGCTTTGTGCACTGGGGTGCAGTCATGTTGGAATAGGTAATTGCAACAGGAAGGGGCCATTCCCAAACTGTTCCCACAAAGTTGGGAGCATGAAATTGTCCGAAATGTCTTGGTATGCTGACGCCTTAAGAGTTCCCTTCACTGGAACTAAGGGGCCAAGCCCAACCCCTGAAAAACAACCCCACACCATAATCCCCCCTCCACCAAACTTTACACTTGGCACAATGCAGTCAGGCAAGTACTGTTCTCCTGGCAACCGTCAAACCCAGACATGTCCATCGGATTTCCAGACAGAGAAATGTGATTGGTTACTCCAAAGAACGCGTCTCCACTGCTCTAGAGGCCAGTGGCAGCATGCTTTACACCACTGCATCCGACACTTTGCATTGCACTTGGTGATGTAAGGCTTGGATGCAGTTGCTCGGCCATGAAATCCCATTCCATGAAGCTCTCTATGTTCTGTTGGTACTGAGCTCCTGAAAGCTACCTATTTTTTCACAAATGTTTGTAGAAGCAGTCTGCATGCCTAGGTGCTTGATTTTATACACCTGTGGCCATGGAGGTGATTGCAGCACCCAAATCCAATGATTTGGAGGGGTGTCTCAATACATTTGGCAATATAGTGTATGTATCACTGACTGTAAGAACTTTTCTTATGTTTAAAATTGTATATTTGTTTACAGTTTAATTTCAATGTAATAGGCTCCAGTCCTTAGCTCTCCATTTGTGTCTCCCCAGGTTATACAGCTTTTAATGGTGTAGATTTTGAAGGCACATTCCATGTGAACACTGTGACGGATGATGATTATGCTGGTTTTATCTTTGGCTATCAAGACAGTTCAAGTTTCTATGTGGTTATGTGGAAACAGACAGAGCAGACATACTGGCAGGCCACTCCGTTTAGAGCTGTGGCAGAACCTGGCATTCAACTCAAGGTACTCTTTGTACTGCATTCATTCTACTAACATCCACTTAGGACTGTGACAGAGTTCAAAAGACTTGAGCTGGTCCTCTCTACGAGTAGACACCCTAAGATGCCGCTGTTAAGTTCATTTGGCTGAAAATGTGTTTGGTGCCTCACTTTTCTTTCATTTTCTTACTTGCATCTGAATTTAAGGCTATGCTGCACCAATACCCCTCCTTCGTTCCAATGAGAATGCCCTTACTGACTAGAGAGGCAGTCTCATTAGACAGTGAAATAGAAACTGGAAGGGCTCCTACCAGCAGGTACTTTGTACCTTGCACATCTGTCCTTTCATTAACCGCCAAGTAAAGCCTGCTAGCTAAATGACTTACCATGAGGATGGCGAAACCAGCCATGCCAGGTCCTATTCCTACCATTCCTGCATGCCCTATTCAGTCCCATGGATGAGCCATGCTCTGCTTGAAGGCGGGAGGCTGCCATAAGGAGGAATTAATGGGACTACAGTGTGCATGCAGAGCAGTAAAGAGACCTGGATATAATATTTTCATTGCAAACGCTGTGCAGCCCTGCTGGAATGGGAAAGAAGGTGAGTACTTTACCAGGCTGACTGTATTTAAGGGGTGCAGGGATTAATCAACAGAGAACCCCACTAAGCGTACAGTTGTCCTTTAAGCTCCACCACTTGCTATCCTCCATCTAATGAGATTGTCCTTACTGGTCACTTTAATTGGCCAATGGAATGGCAGCTGGTAGGACGACCTGTGCATTGGTGTGATGTAGTGTCATTCATTCTTAATGGCAACACAATGAACCTTCTCAATGGTGGTGTATTGCCATGCACGGCAATGCTAAATATGCTTCATTCAGCTTTTTTTGGTGTGTTTTGGTGGGTGAGACAGCCCATTCAAATGCATTTTAATTAGCTAAGTTACTATCATACAAGGAATAATAATTAGTTAACTTACAATGGTAATACATTAAAACATTTTCAGAAAGATTATGTGAAACTTCATGTAAATTTTTTCTGTGAGAATTGGGCAAAAATTGTTAGACTATTTTCTCTCAAGTTGATGTTAGTTATACAGAATAATGTGAATCAGGAAAATACTGGATTATTTCCAGTAGATGGAGCTGAGGCTCAATGAAAATACATACTTCTTTACTATAATCGTCCACTCCATCTAGTGGTTATAATGCTGTATCTTTATGAATCACTATTCTTTATGAATACCTTTAGAGAATATACCCTACTTAGATTAGATTGTATCCCTATTCTGACTCAGATTGTTGTGATAGCGATTTATCCCTTGTGAGACCTCTCTGCCTAGCCTGTATAAGCAGATATAATCACTGTGGACAATCCTTATCAGATAGCTGAACTCACCAATACTGTGTTCATCCAGAAGTTGCTTTATTCTGTACATGTGACAACAGGATACAGCAGAATGAATGGTTTCCAGTATTATGCGGTCAAAAGATGATACTTTCTGTAGCGTACTATGCAGAATACATGTGTCCCTGTTACATGTGGACTGTTAGCTGCCTCCATGACACAGGAAGTGCTGTACTCAAGAAGAAGGGAGGAGCTTCATATACAAAGGAATTGTGTCATAGATCTCAGGGAGGTAATATAAAACAAATGCATTACCAAATAAGGCCACTGGATGGCAGCATAACTAACTATAGAAATGTCCATAGGAAATGGTACAAAGAATAAACTATATGAATTCTCATGTACATTAACATAAATATTAACTGTGTAACAGCATAACCCCTATTCACACAGAACAAATGTATATGCAATTTCACTGGTTTATTAGCTCTGAACTTTAATGTGTTACTAAACCCACAACAGTAAAATCAGTCTGTATATGCAGTAAAGCATGCTTGTTATACTCACTGTGGAACCTAAGGGGTTAATCCTCTGCATTGTGTAAAAAGGCTGTTTGATCCTGTCTTCTCTGATCCTCCTCTTCTTCTACTGTCCCCAGTCCATCTGATGATAGTACAGAGCTCTAGGAGGCATTCTGCACATGTTCAGTTTAGTGTGTGTTGCTAGAGAGTTTTTTTCTCTTTGGGAGGGTGCATGAGATCATCACAGGGCCAATCAGCACTGTCCAGACAAAGGTCAGGGGTTATGCAGCCTCATAGGACAGTCAGAGCATAATGAAAATTCCTCCCACAAGATTAACCAGTGCTCAGCTGGACAGTGATAGAAGTCACAAGACTGCTATACTGTATACTGCTAATGAAAAAAGGTATTTAGCATTTATTTACCAAAAAAAAAAATGCATTTTCATGTTGTGTGTACTGTGGGAGGCCAGATATAGTGAATGCAGGGTCCTGGGTTTAGTAACACTTTAAAATACACCCTTAGTTTTTCTATACCATTAGTTTATCATTAAAGATAGTGACCCAAGCCAAATGTAACATAATCAGGTTGTGTTCCATGTAGCAACCAATCAGGTTTCAACTTTCATTTTCCAGTCCAGGTTAAATTAAGGCAATCCTATAGAGGCCCATTGACTATGTATCTATGTATTCAGTAATGGAGACCCCTGTCATCTTTATTTCATTATGTCTTGTATATTTCTCTGGCAATGACTCCAATGACTGAGTGAAGTCAGTGTCTGGCCAGCGTCCATACACTGATGGCTGAAGGTGTGTGCAGGGAGAATATCATTCCTGAGCCATGACTCTCACTCCTGGAAAGTCTCTCTGACTCATACAGCAGTGAGATCACCTTCTGTCAGGAGCAGCCGGGCTCGTGTCCAGTATGACATCTCCCCAGAGCCCAGCCATAACATTTCACAGCCAAACTGCATCTCCAGTATGTGTGATGTGATTTGTTGCTAACATCTGACGCTCAGCTTTATGTTTGTATACAAGGGAATACACAGCCTTCTCTCCATACAACATCTCTGATGGGATCTGTAAGGAGTAATGGCAAAGTGAATCAGGAGATGCAAGACTAGAGAAAGTTACAGTGCCAAGAGCAGTAACCTTTAACAACCAATCAGATTGCAGGTTCCTGTAGAAAGATGGCTGACAGTTAATAACACAGTGATCTGTGGCTCAATATCCCTTGCACACTTTTGACATACAAGTGCCTCAATTTAGCTTTGTATTAGAATTAGTACATTAGAACTTAGATAAGGGCCAGTCAGCATTAGAACTCACAGTAGGGTCAGCCAAGTGTGCTCTATGTGCATCTACTGACAAGGAATGAACTGGCAAAGTGAAAAAGAATGCATTTATTTGTCAGCTTACTTTGTCCGTTCACAGATCTTTCATGTCTTCTAATTCAGGCCGTCAAGTCAAAGACAGGACCTGGGGAGCATCTACGCAATTCTTTGTGGCACACAGGAGACACCAATGACCAAGTACGGCTCCTGTGGAAAGACCCTAGAAATGTTGGATGGAAGGACAAGGTCTCCTATCGATGGTTCCTACAGCACAGACCTCAAGTTGGATATATTAGGTCAGTCTACATAATAAATAAATACTTTACTGTAGGCTACACTAAAATTTTTTCTGTAAGTTGTGATGACAGTGTCATCCATCCACAAAAACTTGTGTGATTGAACTCTGATGAAAGTAACTGTTCCGTGAAGAAAGTGCCACATACCCGCATTGCAAAGCAGGGAATGCATCTACTGTTTACTCTGTTGCTATCCAGCTTGCATGACACATGTGGCCCACTGGAGTCCTTTAGCATAGGGCTCCCCAGAGTTCCCAGCATTTCACCTGTTAGGGGGGCACCCTGAGAGTGACCAGGCCCGGTGAAGCCAGGACCCCCCAGGACCTTTTGCCTTGCATTGACCACAATGCACAGGGTCATTTCCAGGAGAGTTCCCTTGTGGTAGAATCAGAAAGCAGACCACACAAGGAAAGTCTTTTCTAAATGTTTTTCCATGGTTCAAATATATAGTTCAACCTCCCATAGGGGGGCAGCAGCAGATTGCTTCAACAGTAGCAACCATTTAACAGCAAGTAATAACAACATGGAGAGAGGAATATATAAAGACCCATTACCCAACAAAAGAAAGGTGTCCTTATATCTTCAAATCCCTCAGTAGGGGGATGCAAACAGCCCTATCTGTAGACATCCCAAGGCTTCCCCCCTAAGGGGAAGCTACGGGGTTCTGACTCACCACCTACATGGTACTCTGTATCCTGGCCTCAAAAACAAAATCAGGTTTCACTGTTCCATCCAGGAAGATCCAAGCAACCAACCCAGGGAGCCTCCCAAGCGGGGATGGATCTAGAGGGGGGGGGGGGGGGGGTGCTAGGGTGGGCTGTGCACCTCCCATGTCTCTAAAAGTGCATGAGCCAGTCTGATGCAGACAGTTGATGTAATTAATTTAAAGAAAGTAATGATGATGTGCTGCTACTACAAGTACATGTGTTATATCATAAATGTGAAAAATGAAAATCTCATATACAGTATACAATGTCATATATAAACCTAAATAATCAAAAATACATAATTGACAAACTATTACTGTGATATAACCCCTAAGTGCTAATAACAAAGTGAATGTGATTGGTACGCAATCAACAATATGTGAAGAAATAAATAACAAATAAATGTGCATGAAAAAATGATCCAACAAATATCACTCTAAGGAAGTGTGTGCACTAAAATGCACTAAACTTGAGGTGAAAAAATCCCCAATCTGAACTATAGTGTCCAATATATCTTAATTAGATATACAAGTGATTGTGAACCATCCAATTAGTCCAAAATAGGACTTCAATAAGTGCTGTGTGCTAAACAAATAGTGAAAAAATGAATGAAGTGTCAAACAAATGCATAAACGCATAAACACTCACAAAAATCCCCTATACTGCTCAAACAATTCTAAGTGAATCAAACTGATATACCAGCATGCATAAAGTGCATATAATGACTCACATGCCTTACAAATACATGTAAAGTATAATGAAAAATCGCATTTGTTACAAACACGTGTAAACACACAATAAATGTCCAAAATAGGTGTAAACCACCATAAATTCAATCAAAATAGACTCCCATGGAATTGGGTGATATATGTGCAAGATGACAAGAGGGCATCCACTGGTGGTAAAAATGTGCGCTCACCTCCTTGCCTTAACCCACACTGGGTCACAACGCTTTTAGGATCACTATTTCTGGATCCTTCATGTATGAAACTCCTCCATAGCCACGTCACTTTCTCCTTGGTGGTTTCCCTCTTTCAGACAGGTATATATAGTGGCAGACATCCTTCCCCGTAATACCGTATAGTATGGCCAGTATACTCGTAATAAAATATAAGCAGAAGCTCCAATAGTGTAATACCGTTTAATATCACATGTATATATCAAACAGGACCCCCAAAATGAACACTCATATTATCCTCCTTCTTGTTTAAAGCATAGATAGGAAAACCTCTTGCAATGAGTGTAGTTGCATGGGTGTACAAAGATGGTGTCCAAACCCTGAAGTGCATCACTGCGTGCCTACGCGTTACGTCATGTTGGTCACGTGACTTCCTCAGGGCAGAATGCTGTGCAATAAGGTGTGAAAGCAATGAACAAAAGTGTTGATTACATTTTTTTTTTGCATTAGGGTGTGTTGTCAACTATTCAAAAGCACAATGCACCCTAAAAACACAATAATGCATTAAATGAACAGAAACATTAACACAGTGCAAAGTGCGAATGGGCCCTATGATGTATAGTTTTTTGTATACGCTGTATCTGATAGAGTGAGGGTGGCAGTTCATTTACAGAAGAAGAATCTCAATTTAAAAACCTCCACTGCACCTCTTTGCTTTATGCTGCACATTGACTTGTATTCTGCTACTTCCAGGGCAAGGTTCTTTGAAGGCAGTGAGTTGGTCGCTGATTCAGGGGTGACTGTGGACACCACAATGCGTGGAGGAAGACTTGGCGTGTTCTGCTTCTCACAGGAAAACATTATCTGGTCCAACTTGAAGTACCGCTGTAATGGTAACTTATCCATAGTCTCAAAATAACAGGACAGTGATCCTAAAAGAAGCCATGTTATAGCCAATATTTGTGTATGACACAGGAATTACATTTCACACATATACGTTTGGAATCTAGCTCCTGCTAGGCAGGGCTGCTGTTATAAGTCACGGGGCTCCATACAGCCTACCTGACAGTGCACCCCCTTCCCCATCCCAAAAATATCAAAATTATATTTTGGCTGAAGATACACTACAATCAATATTAGCAGACACCAACATAACATAACTTACAAAATTCCTGCTACATCTAAAAGATAAAACTGTACTGAGATACTAAATAAAGCTGTGTGTGTGAATGAGGTCTTGGGTCTCATTCACATGGGTGCTGTGGCCTGTACAGTGTGAATCTTCATTTTTTTTTATGTGGCTATAGCTATGTGCAGGCAACCTATGTTACTCTATGTCAGTGGTTCTCAAGCTTCCTAATGCTGCGACCCTTTAATACAGTCCCTCATGTTGTGGTGACCCCCAACCATAACATTATTTACCCAGTAGCTATAATTCATGAAGTGTCGTTTTACCTCCAATACTGCTGCTTTCAGCACAGTAGCTGCTTTTAACAGAGTAGCTGCTTTCTACACAGTAGCTGCTCTTTACACATCAGAAATATGTGTTTTCCGATGGTCTTAGGCAACCCCTGTGAAAGGGTCATTCGACCCACAGGTTGAGAACCACTGCTCTATGTGGATGCAGCAGCTGTTCAAACACAGTCAGCGGTCCTAATTTGACAGGTGTGGGTGGAGGTGTACAGCCTAGAACAAAGACAGTGTGCATTTGGGGCCACTCACTTGCACCTGTACACCTGTCAGATTAGGACCTTAGACTGTGTTCCTACAGCTGCTGCATCCCCATAGAGGAATGGCTCCAACTGCACAAATAAACCTCCCATTCAAACTGTATGGGCCAGAGAACCCATGTGAATGAACCCTTTCTTTAATATATTTTTTAATATAAACTTTTTATTTTTGTTTTTTTTATACATTTTTAAATTATTTATTATATTTTTTTTTACTTATTTTTTTAAGAAAAGTTTTCACAATACTGTTGGGGCGGGGATTGGTGAAATATCAGGGGTCTAAACCAATCCTTGATGTCTCACTTTTGAGACAGAGAAAATGATTGAGGACACAGTCCTCAAGTTCCATCTCTGCAGCCTCAGCTGCACAGAATGAATCCACAGGAAGAGCCTGGTAAAGAGTCTCCCTGTTCATAACTGTTTTAGTTTGTGAATGAATGAGCACCGTGAATAATTGGTAGCATTATGGGAGATGGGGAAATGGCACACAGGGAAGCCCAGAAAATAGAGGGAGAGGGATCCTGCACAGAAGGCGGTGAACAGTGCAGCAGGGGGAGTTCATTTACTGGAACTGATCCCCTGTAGTTTCCCCCTGCAGCAGCTGAAAGCAGGCAGAAGGGAGTAGAAGAGAAATCCAGCTTTCAGCTGGTGCAGGGTGAACTACATGAGAACAGTTCCAGTAAATGCATTCCCCCGCCGCACTGATCACACCCTTCCCTACAGGATCCCCTTCCCCCTGCTGCCTGGGCCACCCTGTATTTTACACTTGTAGCCCCTTAAACTTCATCAGGTTTGGCAACATGCAGATCTGGCCAAATGTATTTATTTTTATGTAACTATAGTTATACGACGACCATTCACATTTGTTCCTACTTTGCTGGAGCTTACAGCTGAAGGATCTGTTCCTGCCTTACTGAAACCTACAGTCTAAGGCCAGATACACAGCTTGAATATTGACCAAAATCAGCCAGCACAGTAGAAGCCTGATGACCTTCGACCCGTGTGCACAGCTGCCTGTCGGCCAGGAGCCGATCTTACAACTGGCTTATGTCGAACAAGCATGTTGGAGAACCGGCAACTGGTTGGCATCTGATCAGTGCTCGCAGCCAATGGTTGTGAGTGCTGATCAGTGTGTTCTGGCGGGGGGGGGATGGCACCTCTGTCAGAACACAATAGCACAGTGGGGGAGATCACTCCACTAACATCACTTGTGTTAGTACAGCGATCTCTCAACAGATGTTGAACAAAAAAAAAACAACTTAGAGTGTACCAGGCTTAAAGTGGAACTTTAATCAAAAAATTAAGTCCTGCTAGATCACTTCAGGCAGGCCCATTTTGCAGGTATATGTAATGTTTTAAAACATTAAAATTAAGTGTCTCTACTGTTTAAAATCCAGTAATACACTGTCTCACCTTACTCTGCACATGCTCAGTTATAATCTATTTTTAGACACTGTGCCGAATTTGTACAGGCCGATCTGTTGACAACCTAAAGATTTAATGCTGTTCAGGACTCAGAAACAGGAACAATGCTGGAGGCAATTTACAATGCACACTAGTTTTCGTGGCATAATTAAAAAACAACAACTGCTTTAATAATTTTACCTACAGGTACGTTTATAATAAAGCTAACATGTAGGTAAAATAAATATCTCCTAAATGTGCGCCGTTTAGGAGATAATCTGTCCTCATTTAATCTGGCTCATGTGCTCTGAAGGAAAGGCATACCCATGCCGTTCCTTCAGAGCTGAGTGCCGTGGCCCGAGACTCCTGCGCCAATGCACGGGAGTAACATCATCGCAGCCTGGCCTGTCAGAATGCCGGAGCTTGCAAACCCGGAAGGAAGACGGGTGAAGATGGAAGCCACTACAGTAGTGACAGCACGCCGCTGGAGGGCTTCCTTTTAAGGTGAGCTTTACATAATGTGCTAGTATGCGATGCACAATAACACATTATGACATTACCTTGCAGGGGACTTTTTTTTTTGTCTGCAGTTTACTACCATTTTAATATGGAATGTACAGTATGTTTCTTGCTAAAGAACATTATTCATTATCAAGCTGTTATAGGTAAAGTTCCAATTTAAGGATCTGTCCCTGCCTTACTGAAGCCTAGTCTTAGGATCTGCTCCTACCTTACTGGAGCTCGCTGAAGCTGTATAATGTCAGACAGTGGCTGAATGAAAAATGAAAACATTTGCAGATTTCTTCATCCACACAAACAAAATGAATGTATCAATTCCTCCTGCCAAGACATTGTATTCTGACAGTGGCACCCATCATTGTCCGAATACACTGATCAGCAGCTACATCTGATTGGTCCCACATGCTGATTGATAGAAAATTTCCCAATATGTCCCTCTCCCTCTGACAGAAACTGATTAAACCATTGACAATAAACTTCTGTTGAGCAAGGCAGCTTACACACTGATCGAATCTTGGATGGTCCCTGCTGGTCCGGATGAATTTTGATCGATGTACGGCTAGCATAAGGCTCACCTTACACATATACAAACTATCTATGCTATTTTTGTACAAGCAGCTTTAGATTTACCAGAATTATCTAGTATGAGAACCTACCTAAACTATCTAATAAATCTGTATCCAATCAAGCAGGCCCTTGCACTACATACTTGTTGGAGATTGTACAATCAGACTGCCTTACTGGAGCTTACAGTCTAAGGATCTGTTTTTACCTGACTTACCTACAGCTTATGGTCCCTGCTACATGTGGCCATTTTAAGACACTCTGGGCCCAGGGAAAACATCTCATTATTCCCCACAACACACATGGCATTCCAGTACCAAATACAGAGAGACAGACAGTGAGAACGCTACAAGCGTCACATACTGGCTATTCCTAGCTTTGCATGGTCTCTCCGTTTCTGTAGGTGCTGTGTGGGAGGTCACAAATGCTTTTATTTATTTGATACATCGATGATCTGAAGGCAAACAGCTTCTGCTTGTCTCTCTCTGTAGAACTTCCACAATGCACTGTGACACCACTGTCATTGCTATCATGGGAGCACACCAAATTAAAATTATTTTTGTAAAACAAAGATTTTATAAATACATACCAAGAGAAAAGATATACCATCAGTGTAACAAACATCAGCTTGACCCGAAACCATTATAATTAGTATTTTCAAATTTTAACAATTTCTTTGACAAATTTCATAATTTTCTTCCTTTTCATGCAGTTTCACATTGCATGAGATGAACATTATTGTGGTTTACAAATAATCTGTTTCTCTTCTTCATTTCCAGACACCATCCCAGAGGACTTTCAAGCTTTTCAGGCTCAGCAGTTTACATCTTAAAGTAATTTAGAACCAAAGAAGGCGTTTTATTTTTTTGTTTTGATGTAATCTCGGTTTTATTTGTTAATAAGAACACAGAATCTGATGTAACAAAGTTTTTTTTTTTTATACCTACTGTACATGAATGTATGTGAAATAAGATACAATTAAAGAAACTTTTAAAGTTATTGAATACTGTTGTAATCTCTGAATACCCATCTTTGACTATTCATAGGTGGATTTGGTTGTGTTTATAAGTTAAAGTAGAATTATTTTGGGAAGCCTATCTGATATATTTGTCATGTCAAGGTGATCAATAAATCCATAGTTATAGGCTGCCGAATCTATATGCAAATCTCCAATTTGAGCTTGTTCTGCCTCTTCCTGCCTTCCAAGCCACTCTATAGGCCTTCTTATTTACACCACACGATTGGTCTCATCTTCATGGGTTTTTTTTTAAAAGTAGAACATCTAATCTTTCGGGAAAAAAGTTGGAACTTGTGCCTGTTTTTCATTGTTTTCTCTGTATCCAATGGAGGAATGTTCCTAGACAACCAATAACACATCAGAAAGTGATTGAAAATGTCTTTAAAGTGTAACTCTAGTCAAGAAAGTTGCTTCGTGATATATCACTTCAGGCTGACCCGTCTCCCCCTGCTCTGCACATGCTCTAGAAGCCACTCAGCTACCAGCTTTAAGATTTACTGTAGAGGGAAGAAAGAAATGGGAATGACACAGACTGTGCGGAGGGAACACAGATTTGGGAGGGAGGAAAGAAAAACAGGAGAGGTGACAGGACAAACTCTGCTGCCTGGGAGACAAACGATTTAAGCCGGCCATAGATGGAGCAATTTTCTTTCCGGCAACCATTATTATTATACAGGATTTTTA